GTATATCCCTTTTTAATATTTCTATATATATAGGTTTAGGTCTTTATTTTATTAAAGGCCTATATTTTATTAAGACCTACTTCTTTAAATTAGGTCTTAAAAGTATACCTTTTAATCTTATTCTACCCCTAAGGTAAAGGTAATAAATTATTAGTATAATATAGCTACTTATCTTTTCTAATATTCTAAGTCTAATTATTATCTAATTATTTATTTTAAAATATATATTTTAGTATTATAAATAATATTTATAATTCTTTATTACTATATTTTTTTAGGTTAGTATAATAGGGATTAGTTATATACTCTTTCTTTTTAGTAATAGTCTCTAGTAATTAAAGTATAATAAAGGCTAATTTTATCCTTTTCTATATTAGCTCTTAGCTATTTTTAATCTTCCTTTTAATCCTTTTATTTCTATAAATAGTCTCTTTAAGAATAAAGATTAGGCTTTTTATAATTACTTCCTAAATTTCTAGTTATAATTTAAAATCTTTTATAACTATATCCTATAAATATAGATTATAATCCTTCCTAATAAGCTCTTCTTAAGTTACTAGCTTATCTTTATTAAGTAAGTATAGACTTATCTCCTTATCTTAAGTAATAAAAGACTAAATTCTTATTTTCTAGGTATTTTCTATATATAAATCTTATAATTCTAGTCTTATTTAAAGGCTAAATAAATATATATATATTTAGTTATCTTTTCTTACCTTTAAGGCTAAATTATTAATATCTTTTTCTTAGCTTATATCCTTAAATAGTTCTAATATATCTTTAAATAAAAGTATATTATCTATCCTATTACCTATTACTATCCTTATATTACTATTATTTTTAGTTTTTACCTTTAATATTAAAAATAGTATATTACTTTCTAAAGTTCTAATATTATTTAGGTTTACTTTTTAAGTTTATATAGTATATCTATTAGGTATTATAATATCTTATATCTTATAACTACTTTATCTAGATTTATTTAAATCTTATAACTTATTTTAAGGATTTAGGTTAAGAATAGTATCTTATAAAGTTATTAAGAGAAAATATTTAAGTCTAAATTCTATAGTTAGATTTTAACTTTCTACTTCTATTAAAAACTCTATCTCCTTCTCTAGTTCTAACTTAATAATCCTATCTTTATTCTCTATTTTTAAAGAATAGAATATATTTTTATTAAATTTAATATTCTTTATTATAATAATATAGTTAAGTTAAGGTATTTATATTTAGTATAGGTTTAATATTATATAATTAACTAAATAACTAATATATTCTTTAAGGTATATTTTAAAGTTTTTTTATTAACTCTTTTTTCTTATTTTTAATTAAGAGGGTATACTTAGTATTTATATATATACTATCCTTTTATACTAATCTTTTTACTAATTATATACTTAATACCTTATTTACTCTCTTTAAACTATAAATTTATCTTTTATAATAGTAATTTATATCTATATACTTTCTTTAGGCTATTTCTAAGTAAGAAGGTAGCTATTTTTACTACTTTAGACTATAAGGCTATAAGTAGTCTTAAAGATATTATTAAAATAAGTATTTTCTTAATAACTATTCTTCTAGACCTCTTATTTAACCTATTTAGCTTATAGATATATACTAGTATAGCTTTAATCTTAATTCTTAATTCTTTTACCTATTTTTAATACTTTATTAAAGTATTTTTATAAATTATAGCCTTTTTATTATTATATTTTATAATAAAGACCTTAAGGTTAAATTACCTTTTAATCTATATTATAAAGTTTTTAATTATAAAGAAAAGGGTTTTAATATTTTTAAAAGTAGTTAGAATAGAATAGATTAAACTAATATATTTATCTTATATTATAAAAAGAAAACTTATTCTATTATAACTTAAAGGGTATTTCTATAAATCCTATTTAATTCTTTTAAAAGGTTAAATAGTAAATATATTATTAGTTTCTTTATTAATAATATTTTTTATTAAAGTAGTACTATATACTTTATAATCTAGATATTATATTCTAGTAATTTAGTTATTAGTTAATTCTTAAATTAAAGCCTTAAGTAATTCTTTTTTAAGGTATTTTAATTATAAATACTATAAATAACTATCCTTTTTTCTAGGGAAGGATATTCTTTTTAATATATAATTAAGACTATATTTAAAGGTACTTAAGACTATTTTCTAAAATACTAGCTCCTTTAGTTATTAAATTAGTTTATATTTAAAGAATAGAATATTATCTTTTTTATATAGTTAAGCTATATAGTAATTATTCTTAAGTATACTTTCTTTTAAAGTATTATTATAGTTATTAATCTAGAGCCTAGTTTTAGCTTTTAGAATATTAGTTAAGATTAAATTTATATAGAAGCTAGGAATATAATAGATATTTATTAGATAAAAGTTAATTCCTAGCCTATTAGGGGTAGTTAAGATATATTTTATAATTTTTATTTCTATACTAATAATAGTAGATTAGTAATCTCTAGCCTTAACTAAGATATTTTATAACTTCTTATAGGAATCTAGCTTAAAGAGGCTTTTATTATTTATAATATAGTATAAGCTATAATTATCTAAAAGTATACTTTTATAGTATAAGTAGTAGTTTCTATAAATAGTAAAGAATATATTTTTTATAGGTTTAAAAGTACTTTTAAATAGAATATATATATTATATTCCTTCTATAGCTACTTTCTTTTACTTATAAATACTTTAAGGGTAGCCTATTTAGGTTTATTTATAATTTCTTTAATTTTCTTAGCTTAGAATTTATTTATAGTTATATCTAGTTTAAAAGAACCTAAGTATACCTTTTAAATAATATAGTATTCTTCTAGCTTCTATAAGTAAGTCTAATCTTTCTTTTAATAAAGGTAGTTATATCTTTACTTTTTAGATTTCTTCCCTTATTTATTATCTAATATAAAGAAAGTATTCTTAGTTAACTTCTTATACTTTAATTCTTTTATATTTTCTTTAAATATATTTATAGTAGTTTATAAAGTCTAATTTAATATTAAATTATTCCCTAATAAGGTATCTATATTAATAAAATCCCTTTTTAAGAATATAGCCTATTTAAGTATTATTTTCTTCTTAATTATATCTAAGAAATTAATAATAGCTATTAATCCTTTTATATTAAGAATTTAGTAAAGTAATACTATTTAGTATACTTTTTTTTATATTTAAATCTAACTTAGTCTATTTAATACTATCTTTTTAATAGTTATAATTTACTTATACTCTTTTCTTACTTTTTACTTTATTTTTTTAAGATTTAAGGTAATAATAACCTTTAATTCTTTAAGAATATTCTTAAAAGTATATTAATTATAAATAGCTCTTAATTCTACTACCTTTATTTTAATAGTTTTTTAAGCTCTTAGAAAGAGTTTAAAGTTTATAATAGTACTAATCTAGACTTAGACTAGATTAATATTCTTTTACTTCTTTTTAATTATAGTTACTATTTCTTTTTAAAAATTTATTATTTTTTTATAAGTAATTTTTAAGTTTATATAGTTAATATTTAAATATTTATTTTTATATTAAAACTAAATAAACCTATAAGGCTTTAAGTATAAATTACTATTAAAATAAGGCTAATTTAGGTTTATATAATTTTAAACTTATTTTAAAAATATATAGGCTTTAAGGTAGAGTTTTTACTTATATTATTACTTTAATTCTTTAAGCTTAAGGCTAGAATAGGCTAAAGTAGTTATTATTTTTTAAGTTAATATATTAAAAAAAAAAGAAAAAGAGATTAAAAATATTTTTATATATTTTAAATAAGTTTATAAATAAAATAAAAGTTTTAAATAATAAAAAATATCTTTTATTATTTACTTTTTAAACTTATAACTCTTATAAATTATATAAATAAGTTAATATAAATATTAAATAATTAGTTATAATTAAAAATAATTTTATATAATAAAGTTAAAAAATAATATATATTAAAACTTATAGTTATTTTTATTTTATTCTTTTTTAATTAAAAAAGGAAATTCTTTTCTTTTTATACCTATTTTCTAACCTAGCTAATTAGCCTAATTATACTCTTTTAGTATATCTTTTTATTACCTAATTCTATTAGTAATTAGGATTAGTTTCTCTAAACCTAACTCCTTTATCTATATATTATTATCCCTTTCTAGCTTTCTACTATAAGTAGGTCTCTAGCTGATTGTGCGTACTGTGATCTCCACTTAAATCACAACAAAACTTACCGTCAGCTGAGACAGCCTCAATAACTGTAGCTGACTCGCGGTTCTCAGGACTGGCAGAATAGTGTTTTCGAGGCCTTCTTGTGATAATAATCTGGCTCTTTCCAGTACCAATCCGAACGCCTGATTCGTTCATATTCCTAGTGTCTTGTGGTAGGATACCATAGTCTTCAATCGTCTTTTGTAATAGTTGTTAATATTCCAAAATAATTTCCGGGGGCTCGGCGTCAGGGCTCTGTTATTCAAGTATTTGTTGATGTTTTTTGTAGTATTTATTTCGCCTAAGGAAGCGTGTGGTCCAGTGCTTTCCAGCAACAGGTACATCGGCCGGGTAGGAGCGACGATGACGACTTCGGTTGTAGGATCTAGTTTGCCGCTTCAGTAACAAATTCAGGTCTAATTGCAAGGTTTGATCTATCAAGATAGTCAATATCGGTACAAATCGCCATTTATTCAACATCTAAAAGCGTTATTGTGGTGCTGTTGCGCCCCTTTGCACACTGGGCACCATCGAAAGCGTTGAGCGTGGTACTGAGAATTGCCAGGCCAATTTTGCCAGCTTTAACTAGGGTTTTTTTTTAGATAGATAGAGCCTCGATAATGTCATGTTCTGAATATTGACGCGTCATTATGTGTGATTGTTGAGTTATTATCGAGTGTTGTGTAGACGCGATGTCAAAATGAAGCCTTTGGTGCGGAGCACCAACCTTCGGTGGTGTCTTTGTGGCCCGACGCCTCGTTCCGCACAAATACATCACTCTCACCCAGCATGTCAACTGTCGAGGAGGTGAGACTCTTAGCTCTGCGCGGCCAAGAGCTGCCGACCGCAGACAGAGTCAAATTAGGGTACGCAAAGCAAGCCATCATCCACGGCATCCGTCACCATCTGGCCTTTGCGCAGTCACTCGAGGTTGTTGCCGTCTGCCAGCAGCCCTCGTACCCTGCTTTCACCCGTGCGCGCCATGCACGCCTCATCATGAGCAACATTGTCCCCGACATGGGAGACGATGACGCTGTCTTCCCCTACTGCATCTGGCACCCCGAAGTCGCCGCTGAGGACACCTACCGCGAGGTCGCGCGGCGGTACCCCGGCCTCAAGTATCACGTATCCAGGGCTTGTGCCGTGGCCGGCTACCTCACTCTCTACAAAGAGCTCCATGTCCTTCCAGAGGTGGCTGTCGCCGAAGAGGCGCAGGCGTCGGAGCGGGGTGGCGAGATCTTTCAGCACATCATGGCGCAGCCAATGCGCTACGCCGTCATGAATGACTATGAGAATAAGCTTTACGAGCCGCCGCGCCCCGGCGCTTGTCTCAACGCCGACACAGCTATTGCCTCTGTCCTGCAGTTCCGGAGAATGGACCCTGATGACCGCCTGCAAGCTTGGCCGTCATATTGGGATATCGAAGAGGACGGCTACATCGGTGAGGAGGAGGAAGTCGGGCATGGGAGCGAAAGGCACTTCGGTACTGTGACGGCGCGTGAGATTGAGTTGCTCGAAAACCCGCTGCCTGTTGACCTGCCCGTGGTTAATAAAGACGTGCTGATCTTGATGGCTGCTTACGAGGGCAACTTGGATCGTTATGCACGGCTGCAACGGCCGAGCGTCCTTCGTGGGGAAGAGGGCTGCATCGCGCGTGGTATCTATCACAATACCTCTTTTGCCAAGTGGTGCGCGACCCAAAACTTGAACCCCGCTGCATCGAATGCCAGGCGTACAATGGTTAACGACCTGTCCTGGCTGACACCCAGCATTGCGGAAGAGGATCTTCCTTATATGATCTGGTATCCTCTGCGGCCCGACTTCAAAACTCTCTTTGAAATAGTACGCCGCGAGCCGAGAATGTGGGTTGCAGTCGCCCACGCCTGCATCGCATGCAATTACGCAAGACTTTTTGACTTGCTTCTTTCACGTATTACCCCTACCCGTGAGCTTTTCTGGGAGTCCGGGTACGCGTCCAACCCACACTTCAAGGAGATGCTCGCGCCGCTTCAGGAGCAGGGCAAGCTCAAAGAGGGCAAGGGCGGCGCGGTGGCGGAGGAGGACAAGGAGCCTACCGAGACGCTCGTGAGCGGTTGGCTGTTTGTGGACAGCATATGGGAGAAGCACCATCGCAAGCTGTATGCTGGGCATCGAGCCAACGCCGCGTCTTTGGAGCTATATATGATGGTGCCTGAGAAGATACGGACAGAGGCGGCGGCGTCTGAAACTCTCAATTACGCACTATACGAGTTTGATGATGGTATTGATCGGAAGTGGGATGAGAGTATCTTTCATAAGCAGCTTAAAATTGAAGATTAAGGAATGAAACCGTGCAGCCGACATGGAGGTTCTGCCGCAGTCTATGTAGAAATCATGAGGCGCCGAATTTTTTTTATTGGCAAAGTAAGATTGATTTGTTACAGCATTATCTACAACTAACACTAAGCACCCCTGGAATTAAATACCATTTTTAGAAACGTCGTTGACTATTAGCTGCGCATGATTGAATTATCGATTTATGCCTCAATTTGCAACTCATGCCTTAATTTACAACTTATACCTTAATTTATAACTTATACCTTAATTTATAACTTATACCTTAATTTACAACTTATGCCTTAATTTATAACTTATGCCTTAATTTATAACTTATACCTTAATTTACAACTTATACCTTAATTTATAACTTATACCTTAATTTACAACTTATACCTTAATTTATAACTTATACCTTAATTTATAACTTATACTTTAATTTATAACTTGTGCCTTAATTTACAACTCGTGCCTCAATTTACAACTCGTCACCGCTACCCTATACGAGCCCGGTCGACTGGGAGTTGGAACTTGCTGAGCTCCGGACCCCCCCTATGCCGCTGCCTTTCGAGGGCACAACCTGTGGTCCCCAAGTCCCGGGAACAAAGCAACTACCAAAGGGTACCAACTTGGCAAATCTCAATACTTGCCCTCTCAATGCCTGCTGCGACGTATGGGGTTTCTGCGGCACGACCGAGGACTTCTGTACGGAAACTCCCAGCCGACATTGGCGCTCCAGGCACCGCCAAACCCAACGCCAATGGTTGCATATCCAATTGCGGTCGGAAACGTGTCAACAATGACAAGGCTCCGGCAGAATTCAAAAAGGTTGGCTACTATGAGGCCTTTGGTATGACTTGGCATAAGAAGCACAGAGGCATCTACATCATGTGGTGCCTCGCGACAGTGAATCGCTAAGCCACAACTTTTACAAAACCGTGAAAATAGGCGACATTCGGCACTAATAAAGTAACATAGAAGTAACGTTATTCACTAAATACCTCGCCCATTACTCACGGGCTGACAGGCCAGGACGAGATATAATAAAAAATTGATCCAGCTTTCTAGAGTCGCCCGGGGTCTTTCCATTCGTATTCCAACTTTCTCTCAATTTGAGGCACCTTTTTTCAAGCTCGTTACTGCTATGACAGCCAAAGCTTTCCTTCTAAGCCAACAAAGAATGTGCGACAACGTGTTCTACGACTACGAAGGATGTGGCCATCTCGGCAGTGACAAGGTCAACCTTTGCGAGGACGCCATAAAAGCCATGATGCGCTGCCCTCGGAGCGATTGCGAGGCTGTGCTTGGGGGATATAAGCCCGGCAGATGCAGTTCCTGCCTCCTACCCTCGCCCCCTGATTCCGAGTACTGAATTTTGACGCGACATCATTGTACGAATCATGCAGAAGCCATCTGGTCAGGTCAGCAAATGGCCAACTTCACCAAGATTGAACACTTGTGAAATCGATAAGACCTGCCAAAGATACGTTGCTGCGTATTTCCAAGTAAATTGCTAGGAATAGAAATACATAACCTCTTCGTCTAGCCTTCCTTGCATCCATTGCGGCCGTGCTTTAGATTCTGCCTGCATCCAGCGATTCATGTGCACAAGTCAGTAGTAGCAAGCTAGCAAGCCTCGGTACACTTGGCCTCTTATTTTGCCTGTGCGCTCGTGCCGCTGCCTCGTTGTGTAACCAGCTCCGCCTTCTCTTTGAGTATTCGTTGATCTTGACCGGTGCTTTGCGCAAGAAACGCCATGGGGATCATCAAGGCGGCCCAGTGCCTGACGAGCAACATACGGATTTGGTCAGTCATATCAATGATTCGCTGGAACTATTCCATAACCAGACGTCTCCAGATAAGCTAGCCAATGACGCTCGCGAATACCTTGAAGGTAGCTGTTCTTGAAAACAGCAGGATGTTTGAAGGTAGCTGTTCTTGAAAACAGCAGGATGTTTGAAGGTAGCTGTTCTTGAATACAGCAGGATGTTGTCCAGGTTGGCAAGGTACGCCCGCTGCAATGCATCTAGCTTGGGCATCTCAAGCGCGTCTCCCCGAGTCAGTCCGCGGGTTTTCCGCGGCGGCATGTCTTGCAGGACAGAATTCGGTTAGAGGTTCTGAAACCGACGAGGGAGCCCGAGGCGGATCATTTCTGCCCTGAATGAGGCGGAGCCTGGAGTCATGAAGTTCTAGATGCGTTGCCAAGGTACTGCAGTTGGCCGATGAGCACGTAGCAAGACGCCACGAACGTGCTGTCTTGGTCCGATGACATGATAGATTGGCCGTAGTGTCGGGAATGAGTCTGAGGCTTAGATTCTCTGTAATCTTGGCAAAAGAAATCGGTCTCGGGTGTTTTCTTTCCGTTGATGCTGATGTGTGGCATTTCCGAATAGCTGGATGGCTTCGCAGCGATATGGCATGGCTGGTACAGATATACCATTTGCTTTCAGTTCGGCAGCGGCGAAGCCGAGACTACATAGAGCAAAATTTCGGGCGACAAAATACACGCCCAGCTCATGTTCGAATGCTTCGAGGCGAGGCATGCTCGCTTGATGTGAGAGACAGAGGACGCAGTGTTCTCAGACTTGCTCGTTGCCAAGAGATACACTGGGCGGCACCGCAGGAGAAAGCGTTTGGAAGGAGTTCATTTCCAAAACGGCGAACCTTGAAGCATGGTCAGACTGCCGCTAGCAGCTGCCTTATGCAGTGTGTTTCACGACATTCACTTACCGCCACGTGGAGAGGCGTTTGCGCCGGATACTCACACGTGTACCCCGACAATACACCGTTGTGACATGCCGGTCGGTTTCATTGCTTGAACAGTCATCGGCGTTTTTTTCTCTCGTCGTGTCCGTCACAAATCCCTTTGACGAGTCGTCACCTACATTGATGCATCCTGTCCGTGTGTTGCGGCCTGCCCTCGGCATTCTCCGCGATACCTTGTGTCACTACTTGAATGGTTTGTCCGTGGTGACACGCCAGTCAAACCACGAATTGATGTAGCCCCTGGATCCATGGGTAGGTCCATTTCCAACTGTCATAACCGACACAATGGTAGAGCAGCCCAATCCATATCGCAGATCTGTTGCTTGGCGGCAGGTTCACTAGCAGATAACTATACGACGATAGACTGAGGAAATCGAGCCTAAATGTCGATGTAAAGAGCTCTCCTATTTTGAGCCTCCCATCAGTTTCTAGGCACGACATGTTTCACCCAGAATTCGACGTGGACGTAAGCCTATCCGGGAAAGGCAAGTGATGAATGGGGGAGTCGCCGTAAGGCCCCGCGAAGATGCGCTGAAAGGCCGATTGAAAGCCCTGGCCGGGTGCCGAAGACAAGCTTGTTTGTGGATGTGGTGCCTGTGCTGCAGGGGTTTACTGGCCGTGACAGGTGACAGGTGAGTTGTAGGGTAGTTCGAGGAGTATCTACTGTCAGGTCGCCGACGTTTTTCCAATGTATATGGAGTAATGCATGTAAAATGCAATACAAGGGAAATTGCCAAGGTATAGAGTTATGTTGATACAGGCCACCGACGAACGTGCAACACGGCCAGAAAGGAAGGCGGTGAATCTTCTCGCGCGCATCCATCCCCCCGCCAAATATTCTGCCAACATCCCCCACCTTGTGCTTGAGCCGCATGTTCAGCGACTTTTTGATACCACACGATACGAGTCGACCAGCCAGATTGCAGACGGCAAGTCCGTCTATAAAGAACTGGATTCAACATGGTCAACATTACGGATAAGATCAAGGAGTATGCCGCGCTCGCGACCCCTGCTAGCCGGCACATCGGCTGACAAGAGTTTTAGGATTGAGGAGGAGATGAAGAGGACGCAAAGTACGTTGACTACGACCACCCTGGACACCAATCGCTCCTGTCTTGTTGGCTCTTCAACCGCATACTGACTCGTTTTCTCTAGAAAACAAGGCCACAGGTTCGTGCACCGCCAAGCGATCCATGCGCAGAATTAACAACCCGATCCAGAATATCACTTGGGTCTACTAAAAGGGTACGCTTTCCCTCCGCCCCCCGACCACCACTTGACAGCTCCCTTCTTACCAACCCTCGCAGTAAAATCGCCCGTCTCCGCGCACAGCTCCTCGAGCCGGGCCCCGGCGCCGGCGGCGGTCCCGGTGCCGGTTTCGACGTGAGCAAGTCGGGCGACGCGCGCATCGCCCTCGTCGGCTTCCCCTCGGTCGGCAAGTCGACGTTCCTGTCCAAAGTCACAAAGACCAAGTCCGAGGCCGCCTCATACTCGTTTACGACGCTCACGGCCATTCCCGGCGTGCTCGAGTACGGCGGCGCCGAGATTCAGCTGCTCGATCTGCCGGGTATCATTGAAGGCGCCGCCGAGGGCAAGGGCCGCGGCCGGCAGGTCATCTCGGCCGCCAAGACGAGCGATCTGATTCTGATGGTGCTTGACGCGACGAAGCGCGCTGAGCAGCGCGCGCTGCTCGAGGCGGAGCTCGAGGCTGTCGGCATCCGGCTGAACCGTAGTCCTCCGTACGTGGTCTTCCCTTTGTCCCACCATGCAAAGTATGGGCTGCTTCTTTGTTCGCTAACAATCTGGTCGGCTCGTGTAGCAACATTTACCTCAAGGTGAAAAAAGCCGGCGGCATGAAAATCACATTCCAGTCACCACCCAAGTGTCTCGACGAACGGATGCTGTACAACATCCTGCGCGACTACAAGATCCTCAACTGCGAGGTGCTCGTGCGCGACGAAGAGGCCACCGTCGACGACTTCATCGATGTCATCATGAAGGACCACCGCAAATACATCAACTGCCTGTACGTGTACAACAAGATTGACAGCGTCTCGCTCGACTTTCTCGACTCGCTCGCGCGCGAGCCCAACACGGTCGTTATGAGCTGCGAGCTCGACCTCGGCGTCCAAGACGTCATTGACCGCTGCTGGAAGGAGCTGCGCCTGATTCGCCTGTATACCAAGCGCAAGGGCATCGAGCCCAACTTTAACGAGGCCCTCATTGTGCGCAGCAACAGCTCCATCGAGGACGTGTGCGACCGCATCCACAGAAACATGAAGGACACGTTCAAGTACGCCCTCGTCTGGGGTGCGAGCGCGCGGCACATACCACAGCGCGTGGGCTTGGGCCACATGGTATGTGACGAGGACGTTGTGTATATTGTCAGTGGGTGGAAAGCATAAACATAAGTCAATAAAAGAAAAAAAATTGCATCGACTGTAGGCATCAACAGTGACGAGGTAGATGTAAGAATGTAGCATTGTTCTCAATCTGAGGTAATCAACAAAAGAAATAATTGTCATGTCCAATAATAGCCAAATTCCAACCACGCAGTATAAGCATTTGCACCATTCATTACTTTCCAAAGCATCCGCACACCGCATCAAGGAAATGATTAAAGAAACCAAAACGCCTGTCTAAAATCGCATCCAGTAGCCGCCGCCTGCTGGAGGGACCATGTCTCGATTGCCCCAGCAAAATATATCATATGGGCGACAACTGGGGTTGTAAAACTTCAAATCAATGTAATTCTGCGTCGCATCAAACCCAAGGACGTAACAGGCAAGAAGAGGACGATAGAAGAACAGATAATGTCGAAAAAAAGAAGCGCATTCTATATGTACACAGGAGGACGCCATGTGCACCCTAAATATGGCTCGCTTTGTTGTTGTAGTTTAAGCCTTGGGGATGGACTTGCTGCCAAAGAGGTTATCGCCGCTGAGCTTCTTAGCGCTGGCTTGGGCAAAGAGAGACTTTGGCTTGGCCCTGCGGAAGAGACGGTTAGCACTGGCATGAGATGAGAGGGTCGAGGATTGTCTCGTAGACTTTTTGCTTACTTGCTGACGTGCTTGTTCCGGAGGGCATTGATCTTGGCAGAGCAGGGGCTCATGATGTTGTCCGACGGCGAGACGTATTGCTTGGTACTAATAGCCACGAGGGTCTTGTTAGTGGGAAATGGCAAGCGAGGCAGGCCGGTGATGGACGGCGTAGGGGACGGAGCAGAAGAAGAAGAGTCAGAAAACAGAGAGAGGGTAGGGGAGGAAGCAAAAGAACAAGACGAGGCATCTGAAGAATTGGTAGCAGTGTTTCTGGCGAGCGCCAAGGCGGCGGGACGGAAAGGAGAACGAGACGAGACGGTCGGCGCGGTGAATCTGCTAGGCGAGGCCGCAGAGGCTGCCTTGGTGCGGTGGACGTACGGTTCCTCGGCCATTTTGCTGTGAAAGACCTGGCGGTGGTAGTCCATGCTCTTGACATCCTTGGACTGCGTGTTCTGCTGGTGCTGCTCCATGGAGGCGTTGACGTCCTTGTTGCCGAGAATGGAAGACATGGCGAAATGACGGGCGGGTATAGATGGAGAGAGGGTGTTTTTGTATGCGTAGAAGATTTCTTGTTGCGCAGACAGCAGATGTTGAAGGAGGCAGAAAGCAGACCACGAGCGAGAGAGGCAGGCACGGGCAAAGCCAGGTGGTTGAGGTATGCGGGCAAGCCTTTGTGTTGTGTGGAGAGGTGGTGGTCCGGTCCCGTTTCTGGAGGCGATCCGTTTTCCCGCGTGAAACACTTTTTGTATTTGATTTGCAATACCAATTCAGCAGAAATGTTCTTCTTGTTCTTTTGAAACGTGAGAGAAATGAATCTGTTAATGGCCAAGCAAGGGGCGGTGCCGTCGTCTTTTATCGTGGTGGTGTGCGGTGCACAAGAAATCAAAACAACCGGAAAAAAAAGGTAAATAGAATAGCTTGTATAAGAGACAAGTCAAGGTTCTGGTTGCGGTGGTTTTTTTGATCTTTGGTAGACTGTACATGCAAAGCCGCATTCACGTCCCCCAGACAAGGCAGGACAAGAGAAAAAAAAAGTAAACTTGGGGCGCGGTCGGCTAGGCAACGGAGGAAACGGGTCCGTACCTGGCGGGAATGCTGGCAGTGGAGACTATTAGTGGCGGCTTGTGGGACGGCTGGTGGCTGATGGCCACTTCTAGTTGAATGAATTAATGAATTAGTAGAGCTAGTGGCTGAACTGCCATTTGTTTCACAGACTGAAGTTCCAACTACCCTGAACGGGAAACAGATGATAGGATGAGAAGGATCGTCTCCGGCTGGACCGATTCATGCCGACCAAGAGGACGAGAGGGCTCATGCGTACTCTTTCTCGAGTTTGGCAATCCCAGGCATCTACATAAAAGTGTTTGTCCTCGATGCCAAGTTGGAAGTGACATCTTGTTGCCCCCCATTATAGAACCAAGCTAAACATCACCATGTACTCTCTACATTTCCCCCCTAACAACGACCAAAGAAGACTTACCGACATATTACAAACCTTGCTTATAGGTTATACGTGACTCACAAAATCCAATTCACCCCAGAAACCGTGTCCCCCTCCCCCAAATGCATGTGACGTGGTTCTGCCAAACCGCAAATCTCCTGCAACTAACTGCATGAATCTGGCCCGCTGTTTGCACAGGCCAGCAACAAACGCCCGCCGACCTGACAACAGACGATGTGCAACGTGCAGCGTACACAAAAACAACACCAGCTCGTATAGAGAACATGGGGTGCGGCCAATCAATATGCATTGATCGGGATATTCGTTTGGCTAGCCAGATTTTTCAAGATGCGCACCTGCATATGCCGCGAATGGCGGCCTCGTCTCGGCTGGCATACGCCGCGCACGTGGCTGACAACAACACCATCACGCTGTAACGGTCATGACCTTTAATGCCGACCTTAACCCTAATCCCTACATTCCTCCCAATATACCTGCTCCTCGCGCCGATGAGATCGACATCACCGCCTTTTACCGCACCATCCCAGTCTCTTGCTTACGCCGAATCTCAAGTCGGGCACACGGCCGGTCAACCCTCTGCCGCATCTCGCAACATCGGCACTCAGTGCCGGTTGGCTGCGCAAAAGAGCCTCGCTGCCGTGGCAGCACAAGATTATCACTTTGACAAGCTATATTCAACAGCGGCATATGCATTGCATCGTCATACGTAGTGCAGCTTTGTAGAGCACATTTGTCCTCAATTGTTACAAACTTCGCGGCACATATTCTTTGTACACACACACACACACCCATACCCTTACAGCTTGGTGTGCTTAATCCGCGAGCCAATCTCCTTGTTCTGAATCCCGTACTGCTGCAGCAGCTCCTTGGACTTGGCCTGCTGCCACTTGATCTTGTCCGTCGCCTGCTTGCCGCGCTTGTTCTCGTTGCGGCCCATCTGCTGGAGGTGCACCTCGTCCGGTCCGTCAGCGAAGCGCAGCGTGCGGATGCCCGCCCACATGGCCGCCAGCGGCGTGTCCTGCGAGATGCCCTGGCCGCCAAACGACTGCACGGCGCGGTCAATGACGGTCAGCGCCATCTGCGGGATCAGCACCTTGGCCTGCGCAATCTCCGTCAGCGCCTTCTTGGGGCCGTGCTCGTCCATCTTGACGGCCGCGTTGAGCACAATCAGCCGCGCCGCGTCGATTTCGATGCGCGACTTGGCGATCCATTCGAGGATCACGCCGTGCTCGCGCAGGAGCTTGCCAAACGGCTTCTTGCGCTCGTCGTTGACGCGCATCAGCATCCAGTCGAGGGCGACTTCAGACTGTGGGAAGGGAAGCTGGTTAGCATCTTTGCCGGTGGTCGGTTCGGGGATGGGGGGGGAAACACTTACAGCACCAATAGAACGCATGGCGTGGTGGATGCGGCCGGGGCCAAGACGGCCCTGGATAATCTCGAAACCGCGGCCCTCGCCGAGGACCATGTTGCTGAGGGGCACGCGGACATTGGTAAAGGTAATCTGGCCGTGGCCATGCGGCGCGTCGTCGTAGCCGTAGACCTTGAGCATGCGCTCGATCTTGACACCGGGCGTGCCGGCCGGCACGAGCACGACCGACTGCTGCTCGTAGACGTTCTTGTTCCCGGCGTCCGTCTTGCCCATGACAATGTACAGCTTGCAGCGGGGGTCGCCGGCACCGCTCGACCACCACTTGGCGCCGTTGAGCACGTACGCGTCGCCGTCGCGGCGAATGTCCATCTGGATGTTCGTCGCGTCCGACGAGGCGATGTCCGGCTCCGTCATGAGGAACGCGGAGCGGATTTGGCCGGCCATGAGCGGGACCAGCCACTCCTTCTTCTGAGCCTCGTTGCCGTACTTGGCCAGCACCTCCATGTTGCCCGTGTCCGGGGCGGCGCAGTTGCAGGCTTCCGAGGCGCTGCGCGAGCGGCCCAGCCACTCGGCCATGAGCCCGTACTCGAGGTTGGTCCAACCGGGCGACTCCTTGTAGTGGCCCTTGGGCAGGAACATGTTCCACAGACCCAGCTTCTGCGCCTTGGCTTTGAGGTCGTCGATGATGGACGGGTGGTTCTCCCAGCGGGCGTCACCCTCGCCAATCTGCGCTTCGAGGACAGCGTCGGCACTGCGGCACCCGGGATTAGCGCAAACTTGTGAGGAACCGAGCGAGAGTTCTTACGGGATGCACTCTTCCTCAACAAACTTGGCGACGACATCGATCGCCTTCTTGGCCCGGTCGCTCACCAGGTGGGAGACCTAGGAACATGTCAGTCCGCTTCACGATGCGTGTGTGGGGGCACATGGATGGGGGGGTTTGGCTGTACAATTGCGGGAATCTTGTGCGACATGATGAGACTGGTAACCGGGGACGACAGGAATGAATCTTTTTCCAGCATTCGTATATTGATATAGTACGAGGACCTTGTTCTTGCCTCGTCTGCTATTTTCAGAAGAAGAGTAGAGAAGAAGACAAAGTACCGAGATGGACCAGGTAGAATGGGACAAATAAAAAGATGGGGGAAACGGGGATTATTGAGCGCGCGGGGGAAGCGGCAAGTTGAAATACGAAACTAGCAATAGTTTCTGTGGAGGATGTCGGGACTAGTCGATGATAGTTATCCCGGACGATGGAGTAGCGTGTTGAAAAGAAGAGATGAGAGAGGGTGAGGGTGAGGAGACGGGAGGTTAGAGACCGGACTTTTGACAGAACGGCCGATCGCCAGTCCGGAACCGAGGCTCTGGGGAAGCTTTGGCGGGCCCTGATTAGCTGGTTCGGGGAGACGGCCCCAGCCTCGGGGCGGGCAGTGGGTTGCAGCTTTGGGGATGCTATGTCCGTGCCGGCGCGCTTGGTGAGCTTGAACAAGTTGAAAAATACCTTTGCCGTGTTTGCAGTTGCAGCACTGAGTTACCTGGCTGCTGACGTATTCGTTTTCGTGGGAAAGCTCGACTCCATGGACTTTGGGACGGCCCCTCGGTTGTGGGCGTGCCACCCTCGGTACACATCTGTAGGTACACTTGATATGCACAGCTTCTAGCTCACTGTCGATTTTGAGCTAGCTCAAATTGAAGAATCGTCGAGCAGCGAGTGGCCTGATCGTCACCGACCAGTAGCATTCTACAGGACAGATCAGACCACAAGTAGCACCATCCACAGCGCATCACCAAGGTCGACACAGACCACAGCACTCGGCAGACTGCCCATCCATGACCATCATTAAGATTCAAAGGCAAACATCAATACTCCCGGTTCGAGATATGTTACATAAAAAAAGGACGGGGCGAACAATCAACCCCGGGGACGGGCTATCACACGTCTCTTCCACCACTCTCGTCTCCCCTCCTCCACTAGCAGTCTATTTCAGGATCCAACATATTAACAACCAGGTAAAACCCTTTTCTAGCAGAAATAGCAGAGCTGGAACGGCATCTTTAACAAGCACAGCCGTCGCGGTCGTTTTCGATGTGGATGTTGATGGGGTCGTCAAAGTCGCCGCTGAACTCTTCCGATTCTTCCTGCGCCAGGGCGTTTCTAGCAATGACTGCTTCGTTGATTAGCATCCGCTCTCTCCACCAGGTGAAAAACTCTCAAGCATCTCGCATCAAGTTGAGTTACGTACCCTCGAAAGCCTGGTCGACATTGATGGCCTCCTTGGCACTCGTCTCAAAGTAGGGAATGTCGCCCTTGGACTGGCAAAACGTCATGGCGCGCTTGTTGGAAATCTAGCCCACGTCAGCAACACGCACATCATCATATCCTGCAGAACCAAACTCACCACTCGCTTGCTCTCGTCGACGTCAATCTTGTTGCCAATGACAACCTGCACACGAATTCGTTAGCCTACACATCTCCAACCGCAAGCCAGAGCCAACCTACAAAGGGAAAGTTGGGCGGGTCGCGCGGCGAGGCCTGGATCAGGAATTCGTCGCGCCAGCTGTCCAGAGCCTCGAAGCTCTTTGCATTGTTGACATCGTATACGAGGACGCAGCAGTCGGCGCCGCGGTAAAAGGCGACGCCCAGCGACTGGAAGCGTTCTTGGCCGGCGGTATCCCACAGCTGTTGCCACACACGTTAGCCCGCGTTGCCCTGCGTAGAACACAGGATTCTGTTGTCGCACCTGCATGGTGACTTGTCTATCGTCCACCAGGACCTCCTTTGTCGAAAAATCGGCGCCAATCGTGGCCTTGTAGCTGGCGCTAAACTCCTTGTCGACCTGTAGGACATAGCCTGCGTTAGTCTCGTAGTCTCTAGCCGCACACTCATCATCGTCTCCGGGAGGGTCTGTACATATTGCTTCATCAGACTGGTCTTGCCGACACCGCTATCTCCGAGGATGATGACCTAAAAAAAATACAACCCAAGTTAGCACACACCGCACGCTCTCGTCTCTCCCTCCTCGCGGCCAGTGTTCGGCCGGCTCCATCGTTTCGACGTCTCGCACCTTGAGGAGCACCTTCTTGCGCGACGACATGTTGGGCGGCTTGTCGGGCTTTTCGAGTGCGCGTGTGCGGTTGTCAATGACGTGATGCAGAGCCCAGCCGGGTAGACGGTTGTCGGTGAACGGGTTGCGTCCGGTGAATCCCCTTGATTTCTCTCAGGAACCTGTCACCGGGTAGAAGAGGCTCGTAGAAGGGAAGAGGAATCCAACGTTGCCACTTGCGAGCAGTTTGTCGATCGCGAAGCTGCACGTTGTTGAGGGAGTTGCAATGATTCAGGTAACTAGAGGGGAGACCCAGATGGGTTATTAGAGTTAGTTACCTATCCAAGGATGACGGTGCAGGTGGTGTGGGCAGGCTACAGCGGCGCTAAAACAGGAGCTGGAACCGGATGCAATCAACCGTCAAGATAAAAAGATAAAAAGGTCTCTGGCGCCAACTAATTTCGTCACCAGGCACGGCAACAGCCACTAAAAAACGCCACACGTGATGGCCTACAAGCGCTGAAACCTGACAAATAGGGGCCGGTTACAGCGGACGACGTCACAAGCTACAGCGAGTTGCGCCACAGTCCCAAGTGGCTCATTGGAGGTGTCTGTCTGTCTCGGTTCGACGTCTTGGCTTGCAGCTTCAATCTTCCCACATTCCCAATCTCTATGGACTCGTCCCCAGCGTTGCCCACGCTGCGCTGGCCATGGCGGACAATGGCCTCATTGACAAAGTTCATGACCTGAGCGACCTCGAGCTCGCCGTGCTGCTATGCCTCATCAGCCGCGAGCACTGTCTGATCAGTACCCCAGACAGCGCCATGGACGACTTGGTGCTGGAGCTGCAGCTGGTATGCCATCTCCAGAAACGATTCCCATCGCCCGGCCTCGGAGGTGATGAGAGATTGACAGGACCAACTACGAAGCCTAGATACCGAGAAACTAACATGCCCGATCTAGATCGCAACCAAGACATTTGGCCTCGAATGGGCCGTCATCGACTGCTCCCCCTCCACCACCCTCGAGGACTTTGCCTCCTCTCTCCTCTCTACCTCGCCTCCGCTGCCGCCCTCCGACCCGACAATCAACGCCGGCGGCCCTTCCTACTTCTCCCAGCACGGCTCCCTCCGCCCTCTCGGCGGCACCACCCCCAGCAGCAGTCCGCAAATCGCCAACTTTGTCCTCGCCCGGCACCTCGACCGCGCGCCGCACGCCGTCCAGATTCAGGCCCTCGAGCTGTTGCGCACCCGCCGCCTCTTTACCCGCACCACCGTGCAGGTTGCCCCCAAGCAATTTGTCTTTGTCCCCGTGCTCGCCGCCGCCACCGGCGGGCAGGCCCGGGTCACGCCGCACCTCAATGACTTCTTGGCCATGGCCCACTGGCACGACCCCGGGCACGGATTCGTCAACACCGAGGAGCAGGGCGCGCAAGATCTTGACCACGACGACGACGCGGCGTCGACAGGGAGCATTGTCAAAACGGTGCGTGCGGAGCGACACCCAACAGCGCCCGCTCTCATCTCCAAAGACGTAGGTTGCCCCTTTCTGCTCACCTGGTCGGAAAATGCTGACGACAAGTGCAGGACATCATATGTCTACGTGAAAGGGGCCAAAGGGTGCAGGTCGACATTGATGTGGTCCGGTACCAGATGAACGTCGTCTCGTTTCTACGCATGCACCGCGCCGTCGACCATGGTATCACGCCTGCTGCCACAAAGCACTTTGGCCAGCTCATGCGCAACCTCGCGCCCCTGCACCGGCTCGACTTCGTCACGCCTGCTCTTGTCGGTCTCGCTGCCCGCAAGGTTTACCTGCACCGCATCCGCATCACCGACCCGCGCAAGGAGAGGAGCATGCAGTGGGGGAGCAGACTCGAGGCCGTCGAAGCCTTGCTGCACGACGTAGGCCCGGAAGAGGTTCTCGACGAGGTTATGACCATGGTGACGGCACCCGTATAATCACGTCATATAGAATCAGCTGCAATAGTAAAACGCCAAACGCTTAGCTTTTTTAAAGCCTTGTTTATTAAGTCTACCTATAGGTAGCAGCTAATGCAAATGCAATTCCAGTCATCCTTTTCTGGAGCGATGCCTCCCGGCGCTGTTACTCCACCCGAGTATCGTAGCGGCGTCATGTTGTACACGTTACTTTCGCGCCTGCCCTTTTCTTCGTCAAAGAACGCCAAGTAGTATAATATATCCGTGCGAAATGAATAAAAAGAAACTCCCCTGTAAGTATCGTTTATGCAACCTTGTTAACTTGGCACTTCCAGCCTGAGTTGGCCTCGAGCAGGGGTAGGCTCGCACCCAGGCACCAGCCGAGCTCGTTGCCGTTAATCTTCTTGGCAATCTTGACCTCGCGGTCGATGGGCATGTCATAGCCAGTGTGAAGTAGCGCCAGCATAAAGTTGAGGTCCAGGCAGTACTCGGGGCGGTCGTTGAGCTCCTCCATGGCCTTCGGGTTGCTCTCAAACGCGCTCCAGCCCTTCTCGCCCTGACAGACGGTGTGCGTCAGGTCGTGCATCTCGCGGAGCGTAAAAGACTCGGGCATACCCAGCGGTTGCATGCGATCATAGAAGAAGGAGAAGATGAGTACCTCCTGCTTGGCGAAAGTTTTGGCTAGGGCCGGCTGGTGCACGCCGTTGAACGAGCAGGGGCCCATCTTGCACGGGGCGTCCTTGTTCAGCAGATTCTCGGCTAGGCTGCGGCACTGTGCCGACGAGGGCTCACTGGGACCCGTGAATGTGACTTCATGCTTCTTGTCCTCGCCGAGCGTAACGTTGACCTTGCGCTCGAAACCGGGGAGAATGCAAGGGTTGACAATGGCCTTGGATAGCCAGGACTGGTCGGAACCCTTGCTTTTCGCAAGATCGTCAACGAGAGCTTGGTGGATTCGTTCGCGCGCAGCCATGAGACCGAACTTGAGGTGCGAGTGCTGGTACAGCTCAAACTTATGACCACCATAGTTGAGCTCGTACTTGTGATCACCTTCAGCGAGCTTCTCGGGAGCTGCGTCACCAATGCTCTTGTAGAGGGGCTCGAAGACAATCTGAGTAGACCCGCCGCCAAGATCGAAAATGGCAGCCGTCTCGCCCTTTTCCTCTGTGCCAATCTTGCCAAGCAGGTAGTTGGTAGTGATCCAAGCGTAGACACCCTCGTCGGAACCGTCCATCAGGGCAACACCATTCTTCTCGGCGGAAACCACGGGGAAGGGATAGTCGGTCTCAAGGTGAGTGCGAACCTGCTTGAGAATGGCGTCGGCCTTTTCGACGCCAATCATGCGGAGGCCAGCGGTAGCCTTGACAGCGACGGGGGTGCAGCCCTTGAGCTTGTCAGGGACGTGCTCCATAGCAACCTTCATGAGGGCATCGAGGCTCTTGGCCGCAGCGACAGGGTCGTCCTTGTAGGCGCTGAGACCACCGACTCCCTTCTCGGTCATCTTGAATTCCTCACTCTCGAGTTCAGGCACCGCCCCGCAGTTGTTGAACTTGTAGACGTGAATGCGGGACCCAGTGCTACCGGCATCAATCATGAGGACATACTGCACGAGAGGCTGATCCTTCTTGTACGGCTTGGAGCACTTTTTGGTCGTCAGGGCGGGGTCGCTGCCGTCGTCGGTTTCGGTAGTGTCGCTGCCAGCAGCGGGGGCTTTGGTAGCATCCTTGCTCGACGATGAGTCGACTCCAGCAGCGGCCTTTGAGGCTTCTTTGGCTGAGTCCTGGGCCGGGGTGTTCACGATGGGCTTCTCGATGGGTGTCGTAACTGGCTTCTCGACTGGCCGCTCGGCGACCGGCGTGTTGACGCCGGTGGTCAGGCCAACGGGATCGGGGAGGGGTTTTTGAGAGGCTATATAAGATCAGCAGTGCAACATGCCACTTCGCAAGGAGCAAGACGAACCGGAAGGCTGAACAGGGACGTCGGAGGGCGACAGCCAGTAGAACAGGCAGATGATAGCAAAAACGATGGCGATCGTCTTGAAGTATCGCGTCTTTTGCGACTGGGCTGACCACGACTCCTTCATCTTGGCGAAGAATCCTGGATTGCGGGACTTGGGCTGGTAGCGACCGGGTTTCTCGTGGGGGTCGTCGGAACGTTTGGTGGCAGACTCGGGTGGTGTCAAGAGGCCCGGCATCAGGCTTTCGGCACCTCGACTCGTGCGACGAGTAGTTATCTTGTTCAGCGAGATGCGCACTCACACAAGCGAGGCGCAAACAGGACAAACAAGATGGCGTAGGAATAGAATGCAAATAAAGAGCGAATGAAGGAAGAAAAAGTGTAGAACTAGGAAGAGAGAAGAACTAGATTGGCGATAACCAGTAGGTCGTCCTTGGCGTGTTTGTCAGGGGTACCGGTATCTGTAGAGTTCTCGGCACTGTGCTCTGTTTGTACTGAGAGTGAAAAGGTGTGGTTACTGTGCGAACGAGGATTTAGTCGCACTGGTGACCTAAAACGCCCCAGAGAAAATTTCAGGGGAACATCCGCCCTTGATAGGGGCAAAGTCTCCATTAGTGTGGGTCAGAATCCAGAATCAACGATGTTGTCACTGTGATAGTTATTCCACAGAGGTTATTAAGTTACAGGCACAGTTAGGAATGGCAGCTCTCTTTTTCCAACAAGATAAAGAAAATGCTCACTAATACAACCTAGTTATTGAAGCTAATAAGCTACTCCATAATCTGTAATCTGTACTCAAAAGTCAAACCCCAGCCTCTTTGAGGTACTCTGCCCTATCTCAACAGTGGCCCGGTGCCTTCGCTATAGGGAGGTAGATAGAGCTTGCCTTGCCGAATGAATTGTTTGGGCTGCAGACATTTACGGATACTGGGAACGGATTTCATAATTGCCGTGTCTTGACGAACCTACCACCTGCGGCGTGATGCCATAATCAGACTTGCGTATCGGTGCTGCCTGCGCCACATGCGGCGTTTGCACTTGCCACTCCGCAACGGGCCGTCCGCGCTGATGAAGGACGACGATGTGACGACAAGCCTACGAGCCAACGCAGTCCGCCTGCTGCCTTGCCTGAAACAGCGCTACATTAGTAGCAGCAGGACGCCAGACTTTTCTCACGCCCACCTTGTCACAACTCAACCCGTATTGACTGCCCGCGCTCATTGTTTCCGAATTCAGTCTCAATTCTTCATCGGCGCCTGGTTCCCCGCTTCGCCGATCTCGCGATGCCCATGGACGGCCCAATCGGCTTGGAAGTTCACCTGCTGGTGTACGACTTATCTCAAGGGCTGGCCAAGGATTTGTCCATGAGCGTATTGGGATTTCAGCTCGATGCGCTCTACCACACCTCCATAGAGCTGTGCGGCCGTGAGTTTGTCTACGATGGTGGGATTCTGGAGATTGTCCCCGGCTCATCCCACCTGGGTCGACCGATGCAGCGGCTGCCGTTAGGCACGACAATGTTGCCCATGGATGTCGTACGCGAGTATCTTGACTCTATGAGATCCGTCTACACTGCCGAGGTAAACACCGTGACGGAGAAGTCAAGTGCATTCCACGTTAATACCATCTCAGGCATACGATCTATTCAAACACAACTGTAATAATTTCACAGACTCCTTTTCCAACTTCCTGCTCGGAAAAGGCATCCCGCAACACATCACAAGCATGCCACAGGCTGTTCTTGACTCACCTATGGGCAGAATGATGCTGCCCCAACTCACTCGGGGCATGAACGCTCGGAAAAATGGTCTGCTCGGCTTGGGTCAGACGGCGGCAAGTGCCACAGCGCCCAAGAAGCTCAATCAAGTCCACAATGCTATCCGGATCGAGGACTACCATAAACTGTTAGCCCAATCCTCCAAGGCAGCCTCGGTCGTCTTCTTCACGTCGCCCACCTGCCCGCCGTGCAAGGCTCTGTATCCCTTCTACGACCAAATGGCCGAGCACTACGGTCACAACATTGCCTTTATAAAAGTCGACGTTTCGCTGGCCCATGAGATTGCCGCAAAGTACACCGTTACTGCCACACCCACCTTTATCGCCTTTTTTCGGGGCGAGCAATTCAAGCGCTGGACCGGCGCGGATCAGCACACACTCCAGAGCAACGCCCAGCTGCTCATTCAGATGGGCGCACAGCTACATGCTCATGACCGTCTGCAACTACCCAACTTCTCCCCAAATTCGCTGCCCGTCCTGTACGCCAAGACACCGCCTCTCAGCAAGCTGCACATCAAAATGGGCGAGTTTGGCCTCAAACCAGACATCCAAGCCGTCACGAGCTTCCTCGAACTCCGCGACAAGCAGAAACCGACAGACTTGAGGACTCCGGGGCTGCTGACGCTCGGTCAGTGCGTCCGCGGCGCTCTGGACAAGCTCGCGCCCGACGTGGTCTTTACCGCCATCGACCTCTTCCGCGCCGCGCTGACGGATCCGCGCGTGAGCGCCTACTACGCTGAGGAGCGCGACTTCCAGACTATGGACGCCATCATCAAGTACGTCAATACTAAGGGCATTGCTTGTCCGTACTCGATGCGCCTCGTGACGCTCCAGGCCCTGTGCAACATGTTTTCCACGCCGCTGTTCGCCGGCATCGTGCTCGGCAACGCCGCTGTCCGCACGGAGGTCGTGGAGCTCGTCTCGACGAGCTTCCTCGACGACCACCACACCAACACGCGTGTGGCGGCGTCGTCGCTGCTCTTCAATCTTGCGCTGGCAAACCGCCAGCGGCGCAAGGACGGGGACGAGGCGCGTTTTTCCGCCGCGGAGGAGGTGGAGCTGGCGGCGTCGCTGGTCGAGGCCATTGGGCAGGAGAGTGAGTCGGCCGAGGCGCTGCACGGCATGCTCCTGTCGCTGGGGCATCTGGTCTTTGGCCTTGATCTAGACGGCGAGCTTGCGGACCTGTTGCGGGCGCTAGACGCAAAGGATACGATCCTGGGCAAGAGGAAGGCGTTCCCGAATGAGAAGCTGGTCAAGGAGGTCGGAGAGGAGCTGCTGGGCAAGGGGCTTCATAAACCCTAGCCGTGTTGACAAGAACTCGGAATTGAATATGCCAGATAATTATACAAGTGTGCTCTTCTTGATTTTCTAGATTCTTACATTATATTATATCGCGCCCACGTACAAGTAACGGCCAGAGAAAACATGATCAACAAGCCTATGCTTCATAATTTACTATAATATCCTAGGAAATATTCTGGGAATATTCTTGCGACACACTCCGTTTTTTACTCTATGACAGCCGAGTTGGATTTCTCGCCCAGTGGCGGATGGCCGCAGCGTCTGGTGAGCAGCCACTCACTACTAATACCACCGGCGCCGCCGTCCTTGAGACGCTGTATAGTAACTTAATCGTTGTATTCGCGGGTCAGTGATAGCGTCGTTTCGTCACCTGCGCTGTCCATTGACATCAGGGCCATTCGCAATCAGAAAACATCTTACATGGTCCCTCCTCGTCATGCACAGCGCTCCAGAGCGGCTCGTCGCCGTCTGCCTCTTCTTCCTTGACCTGTTCCCCAGGATAAAGTCATCCGGGCGCTCCCTTTTGACCTGACGAGGCAGCTTCACATAGCGGCCGATTTCATCTGTCCAGTGCCTCTCTTATTTCCCATTGTAATCGTCCCGGGTGGTCAGGTAGCATGGGGGTGTGTGAAGGAACGCCTTAAAGTCTCCGTCTAAAAAATTAAGGAGAGTGATCCCAAAGCTTCGTAGGAGGACGTGGGTTACGGAACGGAGGACGTGGGCTACGGAACGGAGGACTATGGACAGGACCCTGAAACTACGTGCCACAACGGCAGCCCGTGGACATATCGGAAGGAGCCTGGTTAATGAATGCAGCTATTAATTATAGCCTGCTAGCGGACGTGTTCCTTTGCAAACCTGCAAGTAAGTCGAGCTGTGATTTGTGAGATGGGGCATTTTGACGCGATTGTGCTCTAGGGTACGAATTAGTGGTTTGCGAGACCCGAATTTTGCAGGGCATCTTGCAGTGGCTAGATCTTCCATAAACGGACTAGCGTAGAATACTGCCATGGCGCACCGCACACAATTTTATAAAACCTCGTGGCGGCGCTCTTCCTCTTTTCCCTTCTTCTTTTTCCTTTCTTCATCAAAAAGCATCTGAGCAGCCACGACCTTCATCTAGAACCTCCCACGGTGTCGCGTTGCCAGTTCCTCTCGGGGAACTCGCTCAGAAGAGAAGAAACCCTTGGATATAGGAAATTTCTCGCACGGTCGGTCGACTCACCTCGATCCGACGTTCCGTAGGCGAGATAATGCCAAGAAGGGGGGACATTTCAACACGGTGACTTGTTTGTGTTTGCATAATGTAGCGACGTAGTTGGCGACGAGCTCATGTCATAGGACGCCCAACGCTTGGATCTCGCTTCCGTCGATCAACAACCTTCCATCCACGCTGGGCTTGTGCAACCACGACAACGCATAGTAATCAAGAGTGCACGAAGGACGTTTTAACTCCTGTGTTATTCATTTGGTGCATAGTCTGGATGCGCTTGATACTGCCAACCATCGATTGTCCCCAGTAGACCAGCATGAGCTACTGTTTGTGCCCATCCAAGATCTTGCTGCCATCCTGTCGATGCTGCTCCCGCACGAAATTCTCAATATGCTCGTCGTGGACTGGTCTCTCCGGCACATGCGACGGGTCCAGCGCAGGTGCCTGCTCTGATTCGTCCTTCTTTGCTGCCGTTGGGTGGCCCGTCAGCTGCTGGAGCGGAGCAGCCGCCGCGGGAATGTATTCCGCCACTGCCTGTCGTCAGTACATCGAGTACTCCGTACCATGGGAGGGTATCAAGATATGCCTCACCCTTTTCTGCGGCCTTTTGAATAGTTGTCGGCTCTCGGTTGTCTTCTGTCGGGCGGCTCGCTGCCTCGTCAAGGTGCTTCTTGTACGGCCTCTCCGCTGATGGTTGCATCGTGCCTGTTTGCTGTGCCATGATGACGAAAATTTGTTGATTCGGGTCGCAACGCGGAGCCAAAGAAATTTTGAATAAAGATAAAAAACTGCAATGTCCTTGCAAAGGCAGACTTGATTGATTTAAATGAATGCACGGCCTGCCGCGTTAAAACTTGCGTGATGGCATGACGTCAAGAACTTGGCCGATCCTGCCCCTCCATTCAGCCCATCACCAACAACTTTTCTTGGAGGGGCACAGCGCTGTGCGACAGCCGTGTTCTTACCTCGACTCAAACTTTACGTCTGCCACCCCCCAACCAGCGCCACCCACCCTTTCGACGCGTCCCTTCATTCTGCAAACGGCATTCTCGTTCCCAAATTCGCCCCTTGTGCCCATCCGCGCTGATTGTGGCACGCAGCGCCCCCTGCCGCCCAAAAATGGCGCCTATTCCCATCACCATCATCACTGGGTTTCTCGGCTCCGGCAAGACCACCCTTATCCTGAATCTGATCCCACAACTGCGCCGCAAGAACCCGTCTTACAAGCTCGCCCTTCTCAAGAACGAGTTTGGCGACCTCGCCGTCGACTCGCAGCTCGCCTCGAGCGCCGCCATCTCTGGTGTCCAAGAGCTGCTCAACGGCTGCATCTGCTGCAACCTCGTGGGCCAGCTCGGCCCGGCGCTCGCCGAGCTCGAGAAAACCGTCGCGCCCGACCGCATCGTCATCGAGACGAGCGGGTCTGCATTTCCCGCAACGCTGGCCCTCGAAATCAACCGCCTGGCGCGCGAGACGGGCAAATACATGCTGGATGGCGTCGTTAGCGTGATTGACGTCGAGAACTGGGAGGGCTACGAGGATACGAGCTACACGGCCAAGATACAGGCGCGGTACACGGACCTGATTGTGTTCAACAAGTGGGAAGCGGCCGGCGACGACCGCTACGAGGAGTGTGTGGATCGGGTTGGCGACCTCGAGGTGGATGTCGCCAAGGCCAAGAGTGACAAGGGCTTCGTCAATATGGACATCGTGTTTGGAATCGACGGTGGCCTTGCGCAGCAACTCACCGACAGCCACGCTATGAAGGAAAACGGCCAGGCCAACGGCCACACAAACGGCTACCTCACAAACGGCCACACAAACGGCGAGCACCACTCGCACGACCACCAGAGTGAGGTCGAGGTCCTCTCCCTCGAGCTTCAGGGCAGCAACGCCGCCTCCACCAAGATTTCCACCGAGAAGATACAGACACTACTTGCCGCGGCGCCCAAAGACGAAGTCTACCGCATCAAGGCCGTCGTAACGCTGTCAGCGCCGCCCCGCAACTCGGACGCCGATGTGCCTCCACCCGCCGCCAGCCCGTCCGGGCGCTACATCCTCAACTGGGCGTTTGGTCGATGGAACTTTACGCCCGTGGCGGGGTCACAAGAAGAGCACGCGAGCAGCAATGAAGTCGCGCTGCGCATGACCATGATCCTGGCGCGCTGCGAGAGCGCCAAGTGGGAGAAGAAGATCAAGGCGGGCGGCTTGGTGGAGGTAGAGTCTGGTGAGGGCGAGTTGGTCGTCAAGAGGATACTATAAAAACCCATGTATAAATGTGTAGACAATAGACTATAGAGGGAGGGGGGCAAGGGTGGCGAGCACGAGATATGTTTAGAGCAGGCGGTTGACATTTTACTAAGATTTGTGGATTCAACACAACGATACACGCACGACATGACCTTTAGACTGGAATCTATCAGACGACACGAACATTTACAGCAAGACTATCCAAAAGAAAAGAAGTTCCATTCAAGATGACATCGCTCGCTATGCAATTTATGTAGATGTGTTCGCATTGGAACTTGAGAATCCCTTCACAAGAGCAACAAGCAGACAATACCCTGGTTTTCACACTAATACGTACTCAACAGCGGTAGCCCAAGCAGGTAACCCAAACACAACCAACTACAAGCTCACAGTGACCGTCATGTTATTGCTCAATACCATCAGCGTTGGCGGCAGCTCCGCACACAAGACCTCCACATCCGACAGGTACCGCACCGTGGCCGCCTCGTCCGTGCTTGTCCCTTCGGCCGGAATCGGGAGCGTACTCAGCAGCACCGCCGTGTCCTGCGACTGCTGCCGCATGAGTTCATTGAGGATTAGGTGCTGCGCGCGGCTCGGCAAGTCATTGAACGAGAGCGCCACACTCTGCGTCGAGTACGGCGAGCCACCAACGCCCACGCCGGCGGCATCCTGCGTCACCGAGTCCTTGACTTCGGGAATATCGTACACGACGTCGCCGAAATAGGAAAACTGTGAGTTGTGGCGCGAGTGGTGGCGCGTAGACGGGCCCGAAGACGAGAAGACGGGACTGGTCGCAAAACTGATAGTCTTGGCCCCACCACCGTCTGCGGGCCGATTGAGCTTCTTCTCGAGCATGGTGCGGCCGGGGAACCGGCCTAGGGAGGACTGCCGCGAGTGTGCGGGAGGTGGTGCCGCGTCCGGGCCGGTTGTCGGCTGGGCAAAGGCGAGGCGCGAGTCCTCGCCGGTGGTGGTTGTCTCTGGGACAGGTCGGCTGGAAAACTTGACGGCCGAGGACTGCCGCGACATCCCGGGTCTAACAGGGGTGTTGGTGCCGCTCTTGGGCGTCTTGGTGCCGTGTCTGGTCGGGCTGGTGGGTCGTGAGCTTGTCTTGCTGGCAGGGAGGATGATAGGCACACGGAGGGGATCAAGGGGAGGGAACTGGGCGAGCTTGTCCGTTTCGTCCGAGAGGTTAGCACCAATGGCGGGAGTCAGGGGGTCGCTTGCTCCGGTTCGTGACACTTCGGGGGGGTTGGGCGCGTTCTGGGGTAGACGAAAGCTCGGTTCGGGCTGCAGCAGAGTTGAAGATGTAGCGATTGTGCCGTACGAGGGAGCCTCGGATGATGCTGCTTGAATCAACGACTGCGCAACGGCCTCGCTCTTTACAGAGGAGTCTCCTGAATTGTCCTTCTTTTGCGATCGTCCACGTCGTTTCAAGGTGCCCTCGAGAAGAGGCTCCTGCTCCGACGGCTTTCCGCCCGTGCCAAATGGATATGGCGTTGGAGGGTGAGGGTAGCCATACGGTGCCAGTATCTCCACTTCCCTCCTCGCGTCCTCATCTTCGCTGTCTGTTGTAAAATCCGAGTCTGATTCATCGAAGACCTCATTATTGAGGTGGTGGGTATGGATACCCATGTTGACGCCCATCTTGGATAGAATAGCCAGATCAGGCTTCTTGGGAATCTCGGCCATTCCAGCCACGACACTAGCACGGCGCTGGTCAAAGCCGTTCCCTTCATGCGGATTGTATAAGCCACGGCGGCCCGACGTAGAGTCAAGAATGTGGCTGATCTGGGCCCTGTCTTGACTTTCAGACAAGTCTGTTCGGCCGCGGTACGTCTGCAGCTCATCCCACCACTCTTCGTCCTTCAATGCCTCGCTGACGATGATCTGGGTATCGAAATCCTCAGTGCTGCCATTGATGATGTGTTCGTAAGTTTTGAGACTGCCGGAGGCCAACCAGAATACTGACACAGTAGCGTCAATACGTAACTTCTCCAACAAGGCTTTCACACGAGCCAGTTCTTCCTCGACTTCGCTTTCATATTCGACAAAAACCATGACTCGAACGGCATACACATTCCTCCATGTCTGCACAGAATGCAAAATGTGCCCGAGCTGGAGTATGAGCGTGTAGGTATCGAAGTTTGTGGTGACAATATTTTTGCCATCCGCTGTCAGCTCTGCCGACATTTGAATTGGCCAAAGGTCAATGAACTTTTTCGTGTTGGATCCGTCCGAGCGCGGAGTCTCGAGCTTTTCGAATCCTTTTGCGACAGCGACATTTAACCTGTATTTGAGAGCCAGGTCTTCAAGCATGGTCATGTATTCTGTGACGTCCATCATTTGCTCAGTCCGAATGACATCCGTAGGCAAGACACCTTCGAGGAGCCTAGCCGAAGTGTCGCCGCGTCGCCTCCTGAGCGGAACCTTGTCTTCGGAAGATCTCGTTGATTTGAACATTTTTTTGGCCGGGGACTGCGGCAAGTCTGGAATAGAAACAGCCGAGTTCGTCTGTCTCAGATCATCCAGATTATAAAATCCAAGAACGGCAATGTTCGGGCGCATACCGCCCAGACCAGCAGACAGTATTAGGTTCCGAATCCCCCAGTTTATGGTTGGTGACATGGTCAGTTGTACGAATGCTTTGATCCTGGAGAATTCAGATATGTAATTCGTCCAAGCTTGCTGCTGCAGCCTTGCCTCGTGAACTCCAGCGTTGAAGTCGTCCGTAACGATTACGTGACCGAGAATATAGAGAGAGCCCTTTTTCAGCGAATTGCAAAATTGAATAAGTCGAGCCTGGCGCCTAGGGTTGTTGATGAGTAGAATAATATGTGGTCGCCAAAATTTGATATGCTCGGGCTTCAGGCGCAGCAAGTACTTTCGCACTTGGTGATAGATTAAGTTTTGAGACACATCGCCCCATCGTTTTGGAGGGCACAAGTAATGAATGAGGAGGAATGTTGCGATCAATACACAAATAGCCATGGCCGCATACGTCTCGTCAATGAAGAACATGGCCGCAGCAGACAAGAGACTACCAACTAGCGCCGTCTGCCAGCTAAAGAACTTGAAGCCAGGCCGGAAATTTGGGGCGGAGCCAATCTTGAGGAGAAAGCATGCCAGGTTCATGACGAAGAAAGTCATCTATTTTATTAGTAGTTGTTCACTGCCGATATCGTTTGCCTGCGTACCTGGTAGCCCATGGAGATTAATGTGGCAATCTGGTTCAAGTCTGCAAGCAAGGCCACTTGGGCAATGGCGTAGGTAAGAAGGACAGCTAGAATGGGCTCATCGGCCCTCTTTGTGCCTTTTCCGAAAATTGATAACCCTGGTAGCAGTTTATCTTTGGCAAGGGCTTGGAAGAGTTTGGCGGCACCAATGACTCCCATTGTGGCGGAGAAGAATGTCACGGCACATTCACCAGCAAAAATGACGGGGCTAGACAAGCTGATGGCGGAGAGGATATTGTCATTGGCCAAGAATGAAGCGTGAGTGGTGGAGGCGGCCATGCAGACAATGACGACAAAGTATACAATAAAGGTTGCAAACATAGCCCAGAGCGTGCCTTTTGGAATGGCGGTACTGGGGTTTTTCAAGTCGCCAGACATGGAAGCACCCGCAAAGATGCCGGAAGTAGCACTTCCTTGTGTTAGCGCGCTGCAAAACGGTTTGACGTAAGCTGGTAGATGGACTTACGGAAAGAGAATGCCAAACAGGTCGCGAAAAGTCTTTATGCCTTGGTAGGCAGCACTACTCGTTGGTGGAAGCATGTTGCCGCTGAGCGTGTGCAAGCTCAAGCCCGTGAATTCCACTCCACTTTCAGCGTCTCGAAATGGCGACTTGAATGCAGCGGATATAGGGATACTGATTATAGACACTGTCATTATGACGAGCAAGGCATTTGAAGCCTTGGAAAAGACGGCAGATCCAAGAAGGCAGAGGCCTGTGCAGAGTGCGAGAGCCACAGTTTGTAGACCATAACTCGTCCAATACCCTTGCGGAAAGCTGTGGCCGACGTAAAGGCGGATGCAGTCTATGAGACCAACGCAATTCATAGCAGAATTGAGAGCTTGGGCGAGAAAGAACAGTATTCCAATGGAGCCGCCAAACTCAGGCCCGAGGGACCGGGATATCAAGTAATAGGCGCCACCACCTTTCACTTCTCCATTCGAGGCAATGGCAGAAAGCGAAAGGGTAGTGAGTAAATCGACGCAGTATGCGGTGAGCATCAAGCCTGCGAGTATGTCAGCATGTCGCACGTCCATGCATGACAGATGCTACGTTGTGGCGAGGTCGCACCTAAGAAGCCGAGGAAGCCAACCTGTCCTAGGATGAGACCAAAACGTAGGAACATGAGAATGCTGAGAATATTCAGAAAAACGGGGATAAAGACGCCCGAAGTCAAGCCCAGCTTAACCGGCTTCCTGGCCTCTTCTGGGAGCGGGCCATTGCCGAGGGGATCGGGGGACCGCGGCATCATGCAGCAGGATGGGGGCGATATCTGGGAGAGAGCTGTGGCTGAGGCGTTGGCATCGCAAACGCGGCACGTCGTTCAGGGGATCAGCTAGATCGAGAGACAGCCTGTACAGAAAGGTATGGTAGAAGACGAGATAATATGGAAAGACGATGGTGATGGGTGGGAGAAGATGCGGGCTGGCGATTCCCGAGAGCAGACGTGCCGTTTGATCGGCAACGCCCAAGGGTCTTGAGGGGAGGGAAAGCTGCACGATGAGGTCAGTGGACGAGGTGCTGCCGTTTTGTTTGGCGGATGCCAAGCCTCAAGCCTGGAATGGAGATTCTAGTTACAGCGTGGCGTCGCTGTGGCGGGCCGCTGTAATTTGTAGTAGTTGTGAGTTGTGGCGGTGCGAGGGTCTCTAATCTCTAATGAAAATGACTGTCTTCAGCTGCTTCAACTACCGAGTCGATTGTATGCGATACAATTGTTTCCCATCTTTTATTGAAAAGGTTGATTGGTTCTAGTCAACGTTCAAGTCTTACTTGGCAAACCTGCTGCTGTTAAGAATTGCTGTGGCTGAAGCATTGACTAAGCTCGTTGAAGGCGCGCCCCTAATGCCAACCAGACCAAGGTGCCTGCCGAATTCCTCAGCTGGAACTTGAAATGATCAACGACAAGCACCCACCATGTTGGCGTGCGTTCTATCGCAATGCAACCCCTTCGGCCGAGTGCTTCATCCTCTTCCGCTGGGAGGCGGTATATCCGATCCAGAAGCGGCTGTCTGACATGCAAGTACGCGCTAACCTCACCGTTGCCAAACGCAGGGGTGGTGTCGCTAACCCAAACACTAGGCGGCGCAAAGTAAAGTGCAATGAGAAGCATCCGAAATGCTCACATTGTGAAAGACTGAACATTGAATGTGTATGGAATACATCGCGCCGGGACGCAAACGCCCAAATCGCGTTTCCCAGCAACCAGCGCCCTTCACCAACGGCTCAGGGTGGCAACGACACTGGCATGCTTTCAGACTGGGGTCTTTCTGCATCCATCTTTGGAAACTTTTCATCTTTTGACTATGACTACTTGACGCGGGACCCCAGCACCCAAGACTGGTCTCAGGTCGCGTCGGATGGTATTCCGGGCCTATTTGTGGACAGCCTTGACGCTGTTAGTGCCACTCTTTATCGCATCTGATTATTGATCCTATACTGATAAACGGGCCAGTCAAATCGGGAAAGCCCGAGCCAACAAAGTCAAGATATTGCTGGCGCCAGCAACCTTGATATGGCTGAGCTTCCATTACCCTACAGTCGCGCAGATGACGAAACAGTCCCCTTTCAGGATGACGAACTCATGCAGTTTTTCATTCAGTCGGTCAGACCACCCATCTTGGAAGATGTGGAAGCGAGCAAAAAGTGGTTGATCATTAGGCATGCCATGGTTGACATGGCACGCAACGCATCCATGGTTAGAGATGCGATATCGGCCTTTTCAGCCCTGCTAATCGCAAGGAAGTGCAACAACGATAGCCTCGGGGACCAGAGACATTACAAAAACGCCTCAGATGCCGTTGCGGCCTTTGACACGGTCACCATGGCCGACTACAGCCAGGACCGGCAGCATGTACTTGTCGCGTTATTCTTTCTCTGCTACATTGACATATTGGGTGTCCAGATGGAGACGGCACACCTGAACCTCAAACGGGCGTATACTGTCTTTCAAAAAGGTCAAAAGAATAGCTTTTCTGCCATTGAAAGGCAGCTCTTGCTCTGGATCCGCCTTCTTGATGGGCGGGCAGTGTCGGCTGGGGGCGAAGGCATGTTTTTGGCTGACAACGACGCCATTCTAACTCAGAGCTCACCATCTCACAACGAATACGCCATTGCCAGCCCCGAGGGCTCTACCGCCAACGACGATGACAGCGTGGAAGATGCCCTCTTCCAGACTCTGTACCAGCCCGGACTGGACTTCTTCCAAAAAGTTCAGAGCTTCAGCGGACGAATATCCAAGATCGATCCGTGGCATCGTGCCAGGGGCACCGTCGAAGATGAAATCGAAGTCGTCAACATCGGTGTGGCTATTTCCACCGGTCTCCGCACGCTTTACAGTCAACGGCCCATACTGATGGACCTGGCGGTAGCGGGCAAGCTTACCGAGTCGCATCTCTCGGCCCATTTAGCATCGTCCATTAGTCGGACGTTCCGCACTTATCTTTCCAACTTTTATGCGGCCCGCGTGCATCTCCATCGTGTGGCCTACAAGACTTTGCCACTTACAAAGGAGGCAGAAGACGCTCTGCGCCAGATCCGCACGCTGGCGCACCAAATCGTCGCCGACTTGGGTCAGCAGGACAACCTCCCGGTGACGATGCTTTGGCCGTTGCTCATGCTCGGGGTGGAGGAAGCGGAGGCGGAGGAAAGAATATGGATCAGGGAGCAGATTCTGCGGATGGAAAATGTGGCGGGCAATGCGCGCCTCACGACCAAGGTTCTTGAAGAGGTGCAGTTGAGGCAAGACGCAGCAAATGCAAGAGTTGACATCAGGTCGGTTCAGCAGTCTGTCTTCAACTCGTCGTTTGCAATTGTGTAGGGCGGCATTGACATGGTGACTCATTTTCACACAACCTATGCCATACCAATACTTGTGCAAAGTCAAGGCTCATTCGGCAACGTTTCCAGCGACGGTTATTTCCCTTGGCCCTTCGGGTGCATTCAGACTATGAGCAACGTGGCCACGCTGACGGAGAACCCGACGGGAGAAGAATTACCCCCGCTTTCCTGTCAAAAACGCCCCCCGCGTTTTTGAAGAATATAAAGAAAATACTTTTCTGGGGTTTATTGCCCACTTCCAACCCGTCCCGACGCCTTTTTGGCACCTGTGGGAGGGCTGGGTCGTGTAATGGTGCATGCCCCATACGTCGCATCGATCGGCTATCGCAGTGACATGACCTGTTGGGCAAGAAAGTGGACAACGCCCGTTGAACAGAAGAAACACCGCATTTCACATTACTTTAATTGATGCAATTCCGCACCAGGTATTCTTGCCGCAACGGCTGGTCACCACATTGTTGTCACTTGGTCACGTCCAGAAATTCTTTGCCAATTCCTGCCAGAAGAAATCAAGATGGGTGCTGCGGCTGACACGATCAAGACCAAAGTTCTTACGGGCATTCATGTGCCATGTCTGACTTGGTTCCTCGATGACGGCACTCAAGAGATTGATTGGGATCTCCAAAGAGAACACATACACTTCCTGGTCGAGTCTGGTGTTGACGGTGGTGAGTCGAATTCCATCTGAGCAACGGGTACAACGGATTGTGCTGACTGACTGACATGCAGTTGTTATCGCTGGAACAAACGGCGAGGCAGTGACGCTCGCTCGGGAGGAAAAGTCGAAGCTCGTACAATTCACGCGCCAGGCTGCTGTTGCCTCCGGCCGACCAGAGCTGCCCATCGGACTAGGCACTTCTGGCCAATGTACACGAGACATTATCAGCGAAACCGCGCTTGCGGCGGCGGCCGGGGCCAATTACGCCCTGGTCCTCACACCTAGCTACTTTCACTTTGCTATGACTACGGATGCCATTGCTGCTTTTTTTGAAGAAGTCGCCCAAATCAGCCCACTTCCGATTGTTATTTACAACTTCCCGGGTGTCGCCGCCGGGCTCGACTTGGACGCGGATCTCCTTGTTCGTCTCGGAAAGAGCGCCAACATTACCGGCGTGAAGCTGACGTGCGGCGGCATCGCCAAGGTGGCTCGGATCGCTGATGCCTATTCGCCAGAGCAATTTTTTGCTCTGGCGGGACAGAGCGACTGGCTCATTCCTGCGCTGTCTGTGGGGGGCACTGGCTGCATTTCAGGAGTGGCCAACTTGTACCCCAAGGTGAGTCTCACTTTTTCTGCTTCCAAGTAAAGTCATATGGGACGCAATGATTGACTATGGAGTGCGTTAGGTATGCCTGCGAATTACCGAGCTGTATAGAAATGGCAAGGTGGACGAAGCACGCGCCATGCAGCTGCAGCTGGCGAGGATGGAGACTGGGTTTGGGAAAGGCGGCATCAATGGGACAAAATGGGTTGTCGCTAAAATCAGAGGATACCCAGAGGGAAGCTGGCATTGTAGACGGCCGTACCCTCAGTTCGACGACACGGCACGACAGCAGTGGGTATTGGAGACTGTCCAACCACTGGACAAGTTAGAGCAGAAACTTGCCAACAGTGCGCCATAGAATGAATAGGGCCGAGCGGAAGCGACGATTCTATCTTGGCTCGGATGGTCAAATATTGAATAGTATTCACATGCAAGCCAGTTTCCAGTGCCTTTAGTGATGCTATGATGAAACTCTCTGTGCTCACGTCAATATTCAGGTCTCCTGGTTGTGAGTGCCACATGACGAATTACTGTATATAAAATATGAGAAGCTTTACAATCACACGCTAGTGCAGGATTATTCCACAGCTCAATAAATACTGTTTAGCAGTCAGTGGTATCGAGACAAGTTTGTACTGCGGGGACTCCACAATCGTCGGTTCGATCGGGTCGCGTCGCATGTCGGCAAATCATCTGGGGTCGGGAGTCGGCCGCCACCCAAAAGCAGGTTCTGGACCGTCTGGTTTGATTTATTCGCGCGCCACACGAGGAACACTAGAGACTCATGTACCGCACCTGACAGAGATCCCCGACTCGGAGCGACGTTTCGCTCGCGTGAGGCTTGATGTGGCGCTGCTACTGTCGGAAGGACCGCAGAAGCGTTTTCCCCAGACAAGTCAAGCCTCGTTTTTTTACCCCAGCTTTTCCAGCTTCATCCCTTCTTTCCTCCTAACAAAGTTGGGGAAAGCTGTGGCTTCGCAAACGACCTGTTCTTGGCTGTTCAGATTTGCCGACGTCAAAACAGTTGGATGGGATAAAAAGACGACGGACCGCCCCAAATGTGATGAACAACTTACCTCCCCCGCCGACTCATAACCACAGGGAACTTGTACAATGACTTGGTTTCACGCAAAAGAAGACAGGCCGACGCCGAAAGAAGTCTACAACTGGCGGCTGTACATGGAAACTGCCATCATCGCTACTGGTTCAATACTGTATGCGGCCCCTGCGCTTTGTCTTCACCCCATCACTACAAGCAAATACTAATGGGAGAATAATGACAGGTTTGGATATGACTCTGCCTTTATCGGGACGACGATTGCCCGGGCGAGCTTCAAGACGTCGTTCAACATTAGCAAGAGCGCTGCGGCGGACATTTCCAGCAACATTACCTCTGCTTTCCAGGCTGGTGCCTTTTTCGGCGCCATCTTCTGCTACCTATGTGAGAAGCTCTTTTTGCTTGCCAAGCCGCGTCTTTCTAATCGGTATACTTGCATTAGTGACGGAGCGAGTAGGACGCAAATGGGCTCTCCAGGCCAATGTCGTCGTCTTTCTACTCGGAGCCGTCCTCATGGTCGCGGCTACTCACCAGCTATCCTACATCTGTCAGTTTCCTCCCCTTTCTACTCACTCCTCAAGTCGAGGTTTTCTACGCGTGCTTGGATTTACATGCTTACAAAAGTGTAGATGCTGGTCGCATCCTTACTGGCATCGCCTGCGGCGCCATCACCGCCACCGTGCCGAGTTACATTGCCGAGCTGTCCGTCGTGTCCATCCGCGGCATCCTCACGGGCCTGTTCGAGGTCGCCTACCAGCTCGGCAGCCTCGTCGGGTTCTGGATCAACTACGGCATCAACCAGCACATGGACGTGCGCGCGACGGCCTCGTGGCGGGTGCCCATGGCCGTCCAGCTCATCCCCGCCGGCATCCTCTTCATCGGCGGCTTCGCGCTGCACGAGAGCCCGCTGTGGCTGATGCGCAAAGGCCGCGAGCAGCAGGCGACCGAGGTCCTGGTGGCGGTGCGGCAGCTGCCGGCGACGCACGACTGTACGCAAACATGATGCCGCTTTGCTCTCACAATCGCAGTGTAGCTAACATAGGACGGAAATAGATATCCCAGAGGACCTTGAACTGATCCGGAGCCGACTGGTCGACGAAATGAAAATCGCAGGGCGGTATGGCACTGGCTCGTGGGCCATGTTCAAGGGCGTCATCGCTGAGCTCGCGCGCAAGGGCATGCGGAATCGAGTGCTGCTCGTCGTGTGCGCCTTTTCCCTGCAAAACATGTCTGGCGCTGCGGCGATTAACTACTACTCGCCTACCCTGTTTGCTTCGCTTGGTATCAAAGACGTTGCCCTGTATACAGGCATCTACGGTTTGGTCAAAGGTCTGTTTTCCTTGTTCGCTCCCTCCTCTACTTGCCAGACAACATCTGGAGAAGGGTATTGGGCTGACTTGAAGTCTTTGGTATAGCTGTTGCCTCTGTCATTTTCTATGGTCTGCTGATTGACATCTGGGGCCGACGCAATCCCACCATTATTTCGTCGTTTATGTGCTCCGTCTGCCTTTGGATCGTCGGTAGCTATGTGAAGATTGGACACCCAGCGACGGTGATTGCCGCTGGCAAAGAGCTGTCCCCGTCGACAGCCGCTGGTGGTACCGCTGCGACTGCCATGATTATGATTTACTCCGTCTTGTACGTGTTCTGCCTTTTCAGTACTCCCAAGAGGCACAACTAACTGCTGCGCGATAGCTGGTCATTCGGCCTCAACGGCATTCCGTGGATTGTGTCTGCAGAAATCTTCCCCGGCTCAGTGCGAAATTTCACGGGTACCTTTGCTGCTCTCATACAATGGTGAGTGCCCTGACAGTTTATCGCGTCTTGGTGGAAGTTTGGAAACTGACAGTGCCGTTTCGACAGGTTGACGCAATTCATCATCACCAAGGCCCTCCCGTATATCTTCAAGGCTTTTGACTACGGCACCTGGTACTTTTTTGCGGCGTGGATGCTTATCGCCACCGCGTGGGCATTCTTTTGCCTGCCCGAGACCAAGGGAAAGACGCTGGAAGACATGGACAATATTTTGTAAGTGCAACCTACTCATGCATTGTGATCTTGGGAAAAGGGCCTTGCTAATGATGTATGCAGTGGCTATAAATCGCAGTGGTCTACTGAGTCGATTGAATCGGTTCGTGAGGATGAAGCTGCGGGACATGGTTACAAGGTTTAAGGTGTTCGTCGCGGGAATAATGGTGTTTTTTGAGCAAGCAGTAAGATTAAATATCATATCAAATCAATTAATGTATTGTACTAGCGCTAGTTTAGCCCAATTCGCCCAATTCGTACTTGTACACCGTCGACCGTCTGTATTAACGAGTAGGGGATACGGGATACAGCGCACAACAGATATCTCGCCTCGGAAATAAACGGTATTGATATTGGCAGGTTCGCGCCTTTTGCAAGTTCTTGTCAGCGAAATGATTTTATTCTTACATTTTGTCACGGCATTCGTACAAGCTACCGCTCTTTCCTTATCAGTTCATTATTGTTAGTGTGCCACCGCCAACGCTCAGTGACGTTGGCCTAGCCCTCTGGGTACCACCAGATAACTACAGATGATGCGGGGGATAAATACCAGGCCATAGGGAACTACCTAGGCAACACCCTCATTCTGCCCTCGTGCGAGGGGGGCCCGAAGGACACGAGGGGCCAAGTCATGAGAGTGAAAAAGCCCTGGTGTCGGCGCCATCGCGCTCCCGCGGCGGGCCTCTTCGGTACATCTCGTCCAGTCTGGGCAAGGATGTGCCATTGTGGCGTCGAGCCCACGACAACAGCTGATGTTTGTCTTTCCTGGTGGACGTAGGCTTCGGCTTTTGGTATTTGGCGTGCTTTTAATGACCGAATCTGCCACCACACGATCAGGCATACCTCTGTGGCGTCGTGGCTTGCAGTACAGCCTGTGGACATGCGACTCTGCGCCCACGTCGCACGTCGCAAGCATGCGTCGCGCAACAGATAGATTGCCAGAGAGAGAAACTTGATGCAAGGCAGCCGATATCTTGCCGCTTTGTAATTTGTATAACCAGAGCTCGCGGACTTTACCAAATCGCATTGCTTGGTTTGTCAACGTGGGGTCGGTTCTGGTACCCGCCGAAATTCAGGAATTGCGCACATCCTGGGATAACTAGTTCCCCGACGCGTGCGATGAGAGAAAGGGCGCAACATGGACGAATACAAGAAATGTTTTCTTTGCCGCTCTGTGGCCTTAGTGCCTTGAGTGTAACACCAAGCTGGGATTCGATGATGCCTGGCACAACTCGTCGTCGGCCCGCGCTGCACTGCATATAGCTGAGACGAGCGATAAGCTACAAGTTCGTTCAGCTTGTTGCTGATAGCAATGTCTCACAATGTAGAGTCTTGGAGTCTTGGAGTCTTGGAGTCTTGGTGCAGGAACGCGGCAGGCTATCAACGGCATACATAATAATAATAATTTCCAAAGCTGCCATCAGCATCAATATCCGTTACTCAACCCGCCCCGTCTACAGGTCCTCTAGCGCTCGCCGACACGCTGGCGCTTCTGCTTCAGGAAGGTCAACCGTTTGCTCACCGGAAATTCTCGCCCATTCTGTCTTGTTCATTTCGGATTTTTATTTTGACAATTTTGACAGTTTCGACAATTTTCCACCAAATTCTCCAGTCGTGTTCTATGACAACCTGCGCAGCCCTGTGGTAGGCTCCTAGCGCTGCGAATCCAGTCACCCGACGGCAACAGCTTCGTTCCACTCCAACTCTCTCTCTCTCTCGCTCGGACCCGCTGCCTCGTCCTGTTCTTTCATCTTCTACAACAATTGACAGGCCACGACATAGATTCTGAGCAGCTTCCATTTTCATCTCCGTCAAAGCTCTGCTTCAAACGGCCCATCCGGCATTGGTTTTGCGCCGGCGATTTTGCTGACAGCACCCGGTTCGTTTTTTGTGTTCACGCTTGGTAGCTCGGACCGCCTCTCCATTCCAAGCTTTCTCCAACATCCTGCTGCCAAACCCTCACATTATCCCGTTGCTTTCCAAAATATGCGATAGGAGCTCTCTTGTCCGGCCCCCGACGAAACCCACCCACTACCGCACACCATGGCGTCGCCTTCGAGAAACAAAAACGACTCGAACCTGCAGCTGCTCTCCTCGTCGCCCATGTCGTTGCAGCCGCAAATCTACTCCTCCTCGCTCCCGCGCGATGAAGTCACCGCCCGCCTCGCCGCCCCCATCCCCGCCGAGACGCCGCCCCTGATCCGCAGCGGCTCGCCCAAACCCGGCGCCTTTGACAACAACGACGCCGGCAGCATCGCTGGCGGCTCCTACAGCCAGGGGCCCGGCACCTCGGCCCTCGCCGCCGCCCTCGCCGACTCCCTCGGCCAGTCGCCGCTTCGACACGGCACGCCCCCCGTCCGCCTCGCCTCGCCGCGCCCGCTCTCGCCCTCCAACCTGCCCCTGCAGGCCGCCACGCCCACAAACTACGGCTCCTTTGACTCGAGGCGCATGTACATGGGCGGTGGTAGTAGTGTCGGCGGCCTGGCCAGCACAGCCCCGTACGAGGACGCCGAGATTGTCAAGCGTCACTTGGTGCAGCCCAGCGAGGCCGAGACCGGCGGCGGCCCCTCGGAGGCATCATCCGTCCACGGCACCGTCAAGGGCAAGCAGCCCGAGCAGGCCGCCGTCGGCACCGCCGGCGGCCTCAACGCCGACGAGTTCTCCAGCCTGCGCCTCCAGGGCGGCGACGTCACGCGCGGCATCTACAAGTGGACCGAGCAGGCCGAGGCTAAGAGCCGCCTGCATCGCAGCCAGAGCTTCGACCACGCCCGACCCGAGCCCGAGAACGAGGTCGAGGACATCAACACTATCAAAGTCCCGGGCGGATTCCGCCGCGACCACTTGCGCCGCAACGCCAAGAGCCCCTCAGGCAACGCCTCCGAGGCGGAGCACGGCGTGCCCTCCCCGGGCGGGCCTTCGGCCAACGACCGCCTCTTCACCTCGAGCTTTCTCGAGTTCCTGTCCATCTACGGCCACTTTGCGGGCGAGGAGCTGGAGGAGGACGACGAGGCGCTTGGCCCCGACGAGTACTTTGGCGACGACGACCATGAAGACGATGCCGACAACGAGCGCGAGCCCATGGAGGACAGCGCGCTGCTGCCCCCGCACAAGCGCAAGCGCAGACGCAAGGTGCGTGGCGGCAGCGGCCAAAACAGCCCCATGAACGCCGCCCTGCTGCTGCTCAAGTCGTTTGTCGGCACCGGCGTCCTCTTCCTGCCCAGGGCCTACCTCAGCGGCGGCATGCTGTTTAGCAACCTCGTACTACTCGGCGTCGCGCTCCTGAGCTACTACTGCTTCGTCCTGCTCGTCTCGACGCGCCTCAAGATTGAAGGCTCCTTTGGCGACATGGGCGGCATCCTGTACGGCAAGTGGCTGCGCGGCGTCATCCTCTTTTCCATTGTCCTCAGCCAGATTGGCTTCGTCGCCGCCTACATTGTCTTTACCTCGGAGAACCTGCAGGCCTTTATCAAAGCCGTCTCGGACTGCAAGACGTCCATTAGCATCCCGTACCTGATCCTGATGCAAATGGTCATCTTCCTGCCCTTTTCCCTGCTCCGCGACATTGGCAAGCTTGGCTTCACCGCGCTCGTCGCCGACGCTTTTATCCTCATCGGCCTCGGCTACCTGTTCTACTACGACGTACTGACCCTCGCCACCGACGGCCTCGCCGACATCATCATGTTCAACAAGCGCGACTGGACCCTCTTCATCGGCACCGCCATCTTCACGTTTGAGGGCATCGGCCTCATCATCCCCATCCAGGAGTCGATGAAGCACCCTGCCAAGTTTCCGCGCGTCCTCTTCCTCGTCATGATCATCATCACCGTCCTCTTCACCACCATGGGTGCCTTTTCCTACGCCGCCTACGGCTCCAAGACGGAGACGGTCGTCCTCCTCAACTTGCCCCAGGACAACAAGCTCGTCAACACGGTCCAGCTGCTATACTCCGTCGCCATCCTGCTCTCCACACCCCTGCAGATTTTCCCCGCCATCCGCATCGTCGAGACGGAGCTGTTTACGCGTAGTGGCAAGTACAACCCCTACATCAAGTGGCAGAAGAATGTGTTTCGCTTCTTCGTCGTCATGCTCTGCGCTGGCATTGCCTGGGGTGGTGCCGACAACCTCGACAAGTTTGTCGCCCTGGTCGGCAACTTTGCCTGCATCCCTCTCGTCTTCATCTATCCGGTAAGCTCCGAAAATAAAATGCACCTTGAACAAAAGAAGACCCTGCTAACCAGACAATACGCATAGCCGCTCCTCCACTACAGAGCCGTCGCGAGAAGCCGCCTGTGGAAGTATTCGGACATTGTCCTCTGCATCTTTGGCTTCTTCGCCATGACGTATACCACCTCGCTCACCGTCATGAGCTGGGCCAACTCGCAGCCCAAGGCGCCCGGTTACTGCGAGCGACGCGGCCTCGGAGTCGACGCGTGGTAAAAGTGTGCCACTCACCGGCCATTGTCGCCTCCCGCCGCCGTTGTTCCATCCTTCTGCTTTTTTCTCGTCTCGTTGCACTGTCATCCATCTAGCATTGTCAGGGGTTTCGGTTGATTTTTCCTAGTCCTTGTCGTTTTTTTGTTTATTCGTGCTCTCATTTTATTTCTGGTTTACCCTGCGCCTGTAGCTTGGGGCGTTTTCACTGCTCTTGTTCAACATTAGAGAAAGTTGGTTTTGAGGCACCCCCGTGTACTGCTTGCTGCACACGGCATGTCCAAAAAGTATGTAAATCGAAAGAGGCGCGCGGCTTCATCAAGAGTTGTTTTGTTCCAATCGTGTTGTTTCTCATTTGAACATCATCTAGATAGTATGCGTTCCTTTCCAGTATATCAAAGTATCATATAAAGTGCATCATCTCCCCCCTCCTTGATCCCCTTGTGCTAATGATTCAGTGGTGCGCCATGGTATTCCTAAAGTTCCCCATACAATGACATTCTGCAGTACGTCGTGTCACTTTTAATGCACCCATGCACTGCCCGACGACCGCCGGCCCTTTTCGTACAACCACTTGCTGTTCAGGCCCACGCTCGTCCGCTTGCCGGCCGGGCTCGGCGAGGCAGGGTCGCCGAGCAGGTTCAGCGACGTGCTGGCCGAAAAGGGGCTCCCCGACGAGGACCGGCGGTTGTTGCCCCCAAACAGGGCATTGCCGCTCTTGGGCAGCAGGGGGCTGTCCACAGGTGGCGAAAAGGGCGAGCCGGTCGTCGAGTTCTGGAACGGGCTGCCGCCGCGGCCTGACAGCGGCGACCCGTAGCTGCCGCGGCTGCCGACGGAGCCGGCCATTGACGGGGTGCGCGAGTAGCGCGGCGGCGTGCTGAAGACGAGGTCGGCCGTCGCCGCAGCAGCCACGGGAGACGCGGTGGCGGGCGCGAGGCCGAGCAGCTTGCGCTGGGCGGCCGTCAGCGGGATGTCCGTCATCTCGTCGCGGGCGCGGAGCAGCGGCGTGCAGGCGAGCGCAATCTGCGCGAGGGGGACGATCTGGACTACGGTCCACGCCCAGCTCATGTAGAGTCGAGCCGCGGGGGAGAAGCTGTGTTTCGGGCAGCGGTCAGCACTCTTGTTGTTTCCAGGCTGTGGAAGGAGGGGGGGGGGTCGGTACCTCTGCGGACTAATGTACAGTTTTACGACGGCGCGGATCGCCCAGAGGGAGAGCAGGGCAAGCGTGTTGTAGGCTATGCGGCGAATGTTCTTCTCGGAAAAGGTCGTGGCCTCCCGGCGGCGAGTGATTTCGTTGAGGCGAGGATGGCGCCAGGTGCCGGGGCTGTCCGTCGCTGACGCGGGGGAGGGCTTGACTGGCGTCGACCTCGTGGGTGTCGACATGTTTATGGTATGTATTAGAGTGTCGTGCGTGGTGTGCTGGCGAATCGTTTGGATGTTTGGCCGTGGTAGGCTGTCCCTAGTCGGGCGGCTTCAGTTGTCGGTAGGACGATTGAATGCGAATCTTGTGCCACGCACAGTGCTGAATTGGCGAATAGATGTTAGCTGCTGGTTAGTATTGTCGTCGTTGAGGCCGGGGCCCGTGTGGTGGACTGGTTGCCCCTCGGGTGGTTGTCGATGTTGTTGCTGGTCAAGTTCCAGCTACGGCGGCTGGACCAGCAAAACATGGCCAGTACTACTAGGCACCGGTACTAAAGTAGCTTGGTGTGGCGCGGCCTGGCCAGCGACATCGCAGCTTAAACTTCACAAATTACCATGCAAGAGCTAGATATTTGATAATCAAACTAAAAGCGGTTTTTTTAAAAACTCTATCTTCTATAACCAAAAATCATTTAGATATGTGCTGACATTTGGCTGCTACTAACACTGTTCAGCCACAGCAGCGCACAGTGAGTGCCACACACCAGCCACGTCCTGATTCTCGCCGTGGCGTTGCGCAACCTCATCTAGGCTGGCCAATTTCCATGAACGTTAAGCTGGTTTTGCTCCAACAACCCATTGAGTGCTGCCACCTCACGGCCTCGGCACCCACACCACCATCCACCCCGAATCATTATTTCCCTCAACACCATCCCGATAATGCGCACCTGAGTTCATCCAACACTGAACCCTGCACGCATACAATTTTATCTCGATTCGCGACCCATCGCGAGACCCTCGCGCCCCCATGGCAGCCTCACCCAGCTCGGTCGCCGCCCCGTCGGAAATCGACCAGCCGAGCTCTCCGGTCGCGCCGGACGGCAGCAAGTCTTTTGTCTCGCGCGCCGGCAGTGATGATGAAGATGGAGGCGACGACACGCAGATGACGGAGAAGCCCAGCCGCAAGGGAGGTCGGGCCTCGCACCGCGACGCCAACGTGCAACAAATCGGCAAGATTCGTCATCTCAAAAAGGACGACGGCGAGCCCCTGTGGCGCTATGATATTCAATACGACTTCCTCAAGGCCGTGTTTGACAACGAGGCCAAGGTCTTTACCAACTCGTACGATCCGCAGGGCATCGGCAAACAGAACTTTGCCGACCTTTACATTGATACCATGGCGCGCAGCAGCAAGACCAGCAAGGTTCTGCGCGACAAGTTGTTGAATGATAGAGAGGCGGCCAAGGGCATGGCCATGGTCTGTCTCCTGGTGAATGTTGGCAGGATGAATACGACGCTCAACTGTAAGCCCTAACACCACGTACCGACTGGCGCCATTGCTAACTAGTACAGTCTTTCCCGAGATGAGGGCTCAGCTTCGAACATATCATGCCATTCCCTCCCTCCAAGCGAACCAAGACGCGCACGCATACAAGCAACTTCAGGACGCCCCTCGTTTGAAATCAATCCTAAAGGGTGGCGCTGAAGACCGACAGGAGCCAAGCACGTTGCAAAAACTCAAGGAAATGCAGACGGCACCGCGAACAAACCCTGTCAATCTGATCTTCATCATGTGCGCGGCCGCGAAGAAGGTGGCCGACCTACACTTCCCCGACGGCAACGAGTTCCACGACCTCATCATGAAGACACAATACAGCAGCTCATCGCGAGCCATAGCCTTTTTGTGGCTCATGTGGTTCCACCTCGAATCTGACTTCACGGAAGAGGGATGCGAGGAGAACCCGTTTGGCAGCGGCGTTGACTATGATGTTGGTGTCGCAAACCAAGGTGTTCCCCGTCTAGAAATTATGACGGAAGAAGAAAAGGCTCTCGAAAATGTGGACACGCAGACTGAAAAGGACTTTGGCGCCGAGAAGCAGCGCACCAGAGCCCGGATCCTGGAGATGGATCAGGCATTTATGAACGACAGAGACGCGAAACGCGGCAAAGCAAGAGTAACGATCAACGAAGACGGCCCTGCCATCCTGCCGCGCATACGTCCGTCCAAGCACGAGTCAGACATGGATAGCACCCGGTCTACGCCACCTCCACGCGGCGGCAGGGCTGGCGGCGCTGCCAGAAGAAGCGCAGGCCTCAAGTACCAGATCTTCGAAGGGTCCTCCCCGGCACGCCAGGGCTCTGAAGGTGTCATCTCGCGCAAGCCGCGCCCGCCCACCGCACACCAACTAGCCGTCGAGCGCAACCGAAGCCAGCGCGTTGAGTACATTCTAGACAAGGGCCTCCGCCGAGAGCAGCGCAAGAGCCGCAAGTTGCGCCGCCGCGAAGGCGCCATTATCCGAGCGTACAAGCGCGTGCGGGCCGCAGACCAAGCAGGCGAGAACAACAGCGACAGCGATACCGAGGCACCCATGAACCTAGGCCCTCATTCCAAGGTGTTTCGCGAATCGGGCATGGGCGGTCTGTGCCTGCTAATAAACGAGCACGACGATTATGGCGAGGCGATCCACACGTACGCGGCCGCGTTCCGACGCTCCCACCGGAGGTTGGTCCGCTGGCTGGGCACCGAACAGGGGGTTGTGGCGCCAGTCAAGATGTTCAAGGCCAACGGGGTGGACAAGGCCGAGGACGAGGACGATATGAATGGCTTCGACTACGCCAACGGCGACGACGGCATGGATGACATGGACATGGACATGGACGACGGTGATGGCGACGGCGATGGCGATGGTGATGGCGATGGCGACATGGACGAGACTGCTCTCGGCGACGGAGCGGAGCAGACCATTCTGGGAGACGACGAAGGGGACCGCACAGAAATGATGATGGGCGACTCGGACATGGAGTAAGAGCGGCAGCGAAGCGAGTGCTTGGGGATATGTGAACTGGTTTTTTTTTTTGCAATTGTAAACTGTAACGATATGGTGAAGAGGAGCGAACTGGTCTTTTGCCTAGGGACGGAGTTGCAATGGAATACGGAACATGGAATTCACTGTACTGGCTATTGTGCATTGTAGATGGGATATTACACGAGCTTACAAATATTTTGTGAATTTGGTAGAAGAAGTTGTGATAGAAAGTTGGACTTGGCTGATAAAGTACGAAACAATAATTTGGTATTCGTGAAATTCTCTTTTTCAAAATTTTTCCCGAGATGTGAAAGGCGAACACGAATAAGATACGTCGGGGTCCTTGGGTCCGATGGCTCGGCCGGGTTATTTGCTGCGGCAGCCGAGCGGTGAACATGGGCAAAATCTTCAGGAGAAGCTACTAATAAGCCACCAGAGCGCGCGATTGGCAATTGACCATTTCCAGTTCAAGCCTTTTTTTTTCTTCAATGCATTTTTAACCTACGTCTGGGTAATATCATTCCGCTTGCTGTAGCAAAGATGCCGTCGAAATCGCAACGAAAGAACAATAGCGGCGCCGCGGCGGCGGCCGCCAACGGGGGCATCGGGCGGCTCCTCGCGATCCTGGGCCTCTTGACGGCGCTGCTGGCCTCGGTCGTGTACGTGGCGGAGCAGAACCTGGACAAGTTTTACGTGTTTGAGCTGGACCACCTGCAGGACCTGGCCAAGCGCAGCGTCGACCAGCACGGCAACGACACGCGCGGGGCGGTGCGGTACATTGTCGACGAGCTGAGCGCCAAGCTGCCGGCGCACGTCAACGTCGAGGAGGATTGGGTGTTTAACAATGCGGGCGGTGCGATGGGGGCCATGTATATTATCCATGCCAGCATCACCGAGTATTTGATTATTTTCGGTGAGTTTTTTTTCTTTATTTTCTTCGGGCAAAAGAAATCAGTACTAATTAGAGGAAAACAGGCACGGCGGTCGGCACCGAGGGCCACACGGGCCGACACACGGCCGACGACTACTTCCACATCCTCAGCGGCACGCAAATGGCGTACGTGCCGGGCGAGTACGAGCCCGAGGTGTACCCGGCGGGCAGCGTGCACCACCTGCGCCGCGGCGAGGTCAAGCAGTACAAGATGCCCGAGAGCTGCTTCGCGATGGAGTATGCGCGCGGCTGGATCCCGCCGATGCTGTTCTTTGGCTTCGCCGACGGGCTGTCGAGCACGCTCGACTTTCCGACGCTGTGGAAGACGACGTACATTACGGGCAAGCTGATGATTGGGCAGCTGTTGCGCGCCAAGTTCTAAAGGAAAGAGGGACTTGGTAGTGGTGGTGATGATTTTGTTTGGGGATTTTTGACACAGTCGGGAATATTGGGGGATACAAGTGTACAATGAATGATCTTGGCGGTTGGAAAAGTCCGGGCCGAGTTGCTCTGTAATAATAGGGAGCAGAGCTCGGTGCTATTGGATGCGGATTATTAGGCAGTGTCGGGGCAAAAGACACCGTGTAGACTAATATGTAATAGACGCGAAGTTATCTTGCTTGGGCGTCTTGGCAATTGGATCCCATGTGGTACGCCACCTTCTTGTTCTCGCTCTCGACCCAAGCCGCCACGCCGATGGGCGTTGTCAGCCCCGCGGGTGCGTGTTCCCGATGAACGGCAAGCTCTGTAGCCACAACGCCACGCTTCCATGCTGGCTTCTTGAACCAGTCGAACGGGATCAGAGGACTCTGGAGGCCGTTGCGGATAACACACGAGTTCTGGCATGTCACTCCCCAATGCCGGGGCAGCTGAAGCCTCGAAAATTGCCGCCCTTGGCTTTTTGCTTCGTCGCGCGTGCCACATCATCTAACTATCCATCTCATCACGTAACAGTTAATATAGCGTTGTCATTCTCCGCGATGCGTGTTGTCTGCTGCATGGGGATGAGGCTGTAGCCAAGCGTGGCGAACCTTGGCGAGGCGTGAGGGAACAACAGGCAAAGCGTCGACCGTATCGAGCTGGTGGGGGGAAGGAGAGCATGCTGCCCAGCTTTTTGACCGCATAAGCTGTTGCGCCCGCGGGTTGGAGTTGAGGATTGTGGCTGGAGGGAGGTTGCGCCGAATGACCTGCGACAAAGATCCCAGGGGGTTTGCGCCAACATTGTGGGATTCAATGCGGCGACGAGTGCGGCAGGCTATTGATGCATTCTCCGATTTTTCTTCAAGACGTGTGCCATGTTCAGAACGAGAGCAGCAACAATTCTCAAGAGCAGTGTTGTTCAGCTGAAGTGGTTAGCGAGGTCAACATAGTAAGCATTCATTGCATCATCTTTGTAGTGGAGTAGTAATTGAGCATACATAGAATAGTCACTGCTGCCAACTCGACTCGAGCAGCCGCTTCCTTGTGAGTTGTGCATTTCAGAGACAGTCTTGCTTACAGTGCACTGGAAACAGTGGCTGCGATGCGAATAGCATGCATTGCGGGGGAGCCCACCGACCACATGCTGGAGTACATCAAGTTACAATGTACATGCAGATTGCATATCTGCTTCTCATATATGACAACACAGTGCCAATGACAAAAGTACGTAATGAATCGTTGGGTTGACAATGGCTCAATCAGGAAGGTGTTTGTTTCTCCTCAGACTGGCCGCCCCTGCTAGTGCCAAAACTTAAAACCGACTCTAAATCGGCATTGGCATTTTTGTGAAAACAACAGAGCCGGCCAGTGAGTGACTGGGATGGCTGTTCTTCTTTGTTTGCTCAGACTTGCATGGCGATTTTCCCAGCGGTATTACGTGCCCCCATACATAGGGTGGGCATCATCCTTTTGCCAATCAAAAGGTCGCTTTATTCAGGCAAAAATGGTCACGCGCAAAGGAGCGCAGCCTTGCTGCAGATTGCATGCAGCCCTTTGTTCCCTCGAACTGATAACGGTTCACACACCCCGTGTCAGGTAGAAAGCCCCCCCGCCGCTCGAGATTTTTCTTCCTTTGCTCCGTTGAAAACAAGTACGAGGAAATAAAATTGCGACGATGTTTGTGCCGACATAAACCGCAAGGCCATCTCCGCTCGTCTTGGCTCAAGAGGTACAAATAGTTAGGTGCTTCTCTGCGCCTTGGTTCCGCCTAACAACTCTCTCCTTTAATAAATTCTTTATTAGTAAGGCTATTAGTACCCCACATAAGCCATCACCTTACACTTAATAAGCTTATAAAACCCCTTTTACTAGCTATATAGGCTAACACTATAGGTGTACTACTAGTTTTATAACTAATAAAGCCTATCCCCTCTTAAATAACTAAACATTTAACTCTTTAGCTAAGCTAAGGAGACCTTAATTCCTTTAAAAAAGAATATAGCCTAGCCTCTAATAAGAGAGTATAGTTTAAAAATAACCCTTAAAGATAAAGAGATTAAGATAATAATAATAATAATAAACTTATAGTTAACCTTATTTCTATTAACCTTACTACCTACTTTATAATACTAATAGAAGTAGCCTTTAACTAGGCCTTCTATACTTAATAATCTCTCTTTAAAGTTAATAAGGTCTTTACTATTACCCTAAATATTACTTTAAGATAGTTTAATAAATAAGAAGATACTAAAGTAGTCTAGTAATACTAGGATATTATAAGAACCACTATTAAGAAGGTTATTAACCCTTTAAAGAATAATAAACCTATACTTTCTATAGGTTAGGTCTAAGCCTAGAATCCCTTAGTATCTTATAAAGATATTATAGTTAAAGAAGCCTTAGAATTACCTAGAGCTAGCTAAGGCTATAGATATAGCTAATAGTAATAGTAATAATAATAAAGATTTAAAGGCTTACTAGTAAATATTCTAAAGACTAGAAAGGAATAGATAGAGATATAAAGTAGACTTTAAGAACCTTATTAGTTAGATAAATAGATCTTTATTTAAATCCTAGATAATACTAAATTAAGAAATATTAACCTTTATTATATTTATTAGAAGATTATAGAAGTTTATTAAATTAAGATTAAAAGTATTAGCTAGATATCTTAAATTCCTTCTAAAATTACTATTACCTCTAGAGACTAATAAATTAGTATAATTATACTTAATTATAACCTTTAACTATCTTAACTACTTAATATAACTTATATTAAGAAATCTAAATTTTAAACTATATATATACTTTATAATATCCCTAGCTTAGTTATAGACTAGACTAGTACCCTTATTAATACTAACTCCTTTATTAAGGATACTATTAGGACTATAATAGGAATTATCTTAAAGCTCTAGTATATTACCTAGGTAATAAAGGGGTAAGACTATTAAATAATTATTATTAAATTTACTATAAAGGTAAAGCCCTTCTAAATCTTTAATAGTAGACTTATAAGGCTATTAAAGCCTATTATCTAACTAAACCTTTATAAGATATACTAGTAGTAATATAGCCTAAGAGTCTATTAAGCCTATAAAAGATACTCTAACTATAGTAAAGATAGCTATAAAAGCTATTAATATAATAATAAACCTTAATATATTAACTACTATAGTCTTTACCTTATAAATAATAAAGACTACCTAGCTAAGTTTAGAATTAATAAGAATAGAAAACTTAAAAAGCTAACTAAAAGCTAACTAAAGACTATTAAATAGAGAGGCTTCTTAATATATAAGGTAATACTCTTATATAACTTAATCTAGTTATAAATAGCCTAGTAAGCCTTAACTTTAAATATAATAAACTTAAATAACTTTATACTTAATAATAAGGTAGACTATAATATAGATAGTAACCCTATAGAATAAGCTATAAATACTACTACCCTTAAGGAGCTAGTATAGTATATAGGTAATAAAGAAGGGGCTAGTATAGGGTACTTTAATAGTATAGCCTTAGTTAGTAAAGAAAGCCTATTAACTAACTAGGATATAGAGATATTAATTAAAACTAAGAATCCTTCTCCCTTCTCTATAGCTACCTAAAAGAGTAGATAAAGCTAATTAGCTATAACTAAAGCTAGGAAACCTTTAGTATAATAGGATAACTATTAACTATCTTCTAAATTAATATTACTAAAACTATAAGTATATATAATTATATACTAGCTATTACTAGAGAAAATAATATTAATATTATAATACTTTAAAAGCTATAGTTTTTAAATTCTTATAAAACTATAATATACTAAGACTATATCTATATTACCCTAATTTAATACTAACTATATAAAGATAGTATTAACTACTAACCTAAGGTATTTATATATATCTCTAAGTTATTTTAATAACCTAAAGTCTAGTAAATAACTAGTACTCCTTATAGAGATATTATTAGTATTACTACTATAAGATACTATTTTTTAAATATATATAAAGATAATAATAAGCTATATATTATTAATATACTATAAGACTAAAAGCCTTTAGAGAAGTTACTTATTATAAGGGATTTTAATACTTACTATTATAAATAGTAGCTAGGTATAATAACTAGCTAGGGAGTAATAAACCTTACTAACTAGATCTTTAAATAGAACCTATAGGTACTTAATACTAATAGTATACCTATTTATAAGGCTAGTAATATACTAGACCTTATAATCTTAAATATTACCTTAGCCTATATAAATATTACCTTCTAGCTATATATATTATTAGATTATAAAACTTTAGTAATAATAATATTAAATATAAAGTACCTAAAGAAGCTAGCTAGTAGGCTATAACTAGAGAAAGAGTAAGTTCTAAGGTTTATAGAGTATCTTAATAAATATAAATAGCTAATCTAGAAAAAGAATAAAATATTAAAGGAATTAGAGGACTTAGTAATAAACCTAGTTATAGTACTTAATATAGTACTAAAGGTATATAGTAAGGTGCCTATATAGTTAAAGAAAAGAGTATTATAGTAAAGTAAAGAATATAAGTAATCTTATTAATAAATAGTAACTAAAGTATAATAAGGTATAGTAAATATAGAAGGAGTAAAGAAGGAATTCTACTAAATAATATAAAAGGCTAAGTCTAACTTTAATAAAAAACTAGTAGATAGTATTAACTTAAATAAGGTTTTATATAGAGTAATAAACTAATATAACCTAACCTTATAGTTCTAAACCCTACTAATTAAGTATAAAGGTAGGATATATATAGAACCTAAAGAAAAAGCTAAGTATCTTAAGAAAGCCTTACTTAAAAGAAGAACTTAAGGAGAAGACCTACTAGAAGATATCCTAACTATCCTAAAGAAGCTAATACCCTAGTCTATAGAATTCTTAATAAAGGAAATCTAGAATACCCTTATCTTAATAGGAAATATATCTTTAAAGGTAGA